CATTGCAGGGTCGCCCCTTGCAGGTGGGATTTACGCCGCAGCTTGTCAATCTCTTCGATACGTTGCGGCGCCGCTCCCTGGCCATGTCTGACATGTGTGGAACCTACGTTACATGGACGAAGAGACGAGAGTCGATCGAAGTTTGTCGGCATCATCTCTGTAAGATGTCAAGAGTTCGCAAGAATCGGAAGGCTCTTTCCAGTGGACGGCACCTTATATAAGGACCCACTACCAGCACAGTGCCATGGGGTTCGAGATCGCCTCAACACCTTTCTCAGAGGCTTCCCGGGCTCGCGCCAGTTGCACTTGGCGATGGTCCGGTGGGCGCTGCGGCGCTATGCAGGGATCTTGGAGAAGTCCTGCATCCTTCCAGTCTCTGCAGTCTGCGTGTGGGCATACATCAGCATATATCCATAAGGCCATACGGTCTCTAATGCAGGTGTGCAAGTTGTTCAGTGGGTGCAAAGTGCAGGAACTTCGCGACCTCTCTGTGCCAAGAGCGGGAGTATGTTCCAGCCATCCCTCGAGTTTCTCAGTGGTTCCTGACCGGGCCACATGCCCCCCTCCCCCCCGGATCGCTGGGCCTTTGTCCTTGATCTAAACCCCAGGCTGGCCATGACACTTTCGATGAACTACTCACTGTAGATAAAAAGCGTTCATGTGCCTATTCAGGCCCAAGCAGACAGAAAAGAACTAGCAAACATGAACGACCCATGCGTAAGGCTTCGGCCAGAGGGCGACGAGAGCAAAAGCTGACAAACTTGCCAAGGGTAATTTTAGGCCTTATATCCAAAACTCCACATCTTCCAAAAGCAGTGCTGCCAACACCGTTACAAACAATATCCTTGAGGAACTCTGTGTCACGGAGCCCAGATGCCGGGATGAAAACGAAGATGTAGAATCCGTTCCTTCCAGGAACCTTAGGAGCTGGCACAGCCCCTCAACCCTCCTCAGCGGCAGCGGGTGCCCATTCCAGCGCGGCATGTGCGACCAGCTCGAGCATGCTCGACCCAGTGAAGGCCGAGAGGCAGCGCCCAAGCCACGATATCCAGTACTCGCAAAAGCTTCATCTTGGCGCCGAGGACACTGCGAAGCAAGACGGCCCAAATCAGCCCAAGAAACAAAGAGCAAATGAAGTATCGATGGGGCAAGTTGTCTGGGTCGCAGCGATGGTTTTGAGGGTATACCATACATTAAACATGCAAGTCTTTGTATACATGATTCCAAAGTGACATTATGCACTACCTGCAATTTGCCCTCAAACAACTCGCTGAGATTGGGTACTTCGTTGGGACCATTTTCATCAGGATTCTTCTGTAAACAGCTACCTTGCCCATCCTTGCCCATAAGGTCTACCAACCCCAGCTCCATGTCTTCTGAGGTCCGAAGTTCTTTCTCGAAAACGGCAAAGGCAGGTCGAAAGGGCAGTGCATGTTGGGATGCCTTCTGACAGTGAGGAGCATGCTTGAGGTTAGGGCCAGAGGTCAGTCGTGTGTGTCTGATGACCATTGTCCTTAGTATCTGCAGTTGCAGGGAGTCGCCGCATGGAGAGCTAGTCCGTAAAGCGTGCACAACAGATCATGCTGGACTTTTGCTCGACATCTGGCCTTACTGTTGTTAGGCCATGGTGCTGTAGGCCTTGGCCACCTACAGTACTTGTGGATGACATTGAAAACAAGTCTTCGCACCCTTATCAAACTATTCAGCATTCTTTGGGCTCAGCCAGTGGCATTGCGCAAGAAGCATTGGATGCATCTGCATGCCAGGAGTTGCAGGAGCGCGGCGCAAGTGATGAAGAGATGGCGAATGCTTTCGCGTCTTGGCCCCCTGGCCCATGTCAGAATTCTCATCCACTTTTGAACGGCATAGGCACTTACTGCTAAAGGTTAAAGGATTGGACAAGGTTGGTCTTTCTTAAGGGATGGGAAGCTTGTGGAGTCGAGTCCTTCAGCGGATATGCTCTGCTATTCCTCAGGCATTGTCCCAAGATGTTTGGCTTTGGCCCTAGCAGCCTTAGCAGTATTTCGTGCAGCACTGCTTGTGCAGGCTGTCAGGCACACTGCAGTCTCTGACGCTTGGCCTTATCTTCAGTGGCTGAGCAGTGTGTGCTCGTTGACCGTGCTTCAAGAGAGCTGCTTGTTTGATGTCGTATGGTATTTCTAGGCAATAAAGTTTTCCCGGAGATCTGAGACTTCAGTTGAGAAAACGTGTTCCAAGGGATCTGGAGCTGGAGCCATGTGAAGATCAGCGCCCCAACAGCTTGCCGTGGCTGGTGGAGGACTGCTACTGGAAAAAACAGTTCTTGTCCTTTTTCTCCGGCCATTTCTTACGAGGTCCAGTTCGGCAGAGAGTCCCCACTGCCCCGCCGCGTTACTGAAGCATGTCAACCTGAGAACCGGTGCAAAGCGTGCTTTGTTCTGGACAGCTGCTTCGATGCTTCCTTAATTTTCTGTTAGATGGTTATTCTCCAGCTTGATTTGACTTGTCGGTGTAAGTGTCCAAGGGATGCGGCAAGTGTCCTCCATGGGTTTGCAACCCGCAAGCTGCTCAGGAGCTGCTTATGGAGCACCTCATCGGCGACAGCTCAGCAACTGAGCCAAACCTCTGTACTTGTGCTCCAACATCCTTGACAGAGCTTCCCTTGAAAACTGCCTCAATCGCGGTTAGAGTTTCCCTTGAAAGCGGCCTCAATCGCGGTTGCCAGTGCGATGCCTAGCTGCGCCCCACCCGGACACGCAGGGAAGTTGAATTCGACAGCACTCTCAAAGTCCGAATCTCCCGAGGACTCCAAGTGCTGGGCCCTGCAGCGCAGTTCCCTCGTGGCCGACACCTTGGGCCCCGCGCTCCGCCGACTGCTGGCCAAGAGCCTGCGCCTGGGCCTTGGCATCTATAATAGAACAAATATTATCAGTATTAAAATACTAATACTATTTTTTCATGATATTAATAAAAAAATATTAATACTGTTTTTTCATAATATTAATAATATGAATAAGAGTACTCTTCAAACTGGTATTTGGGGGGGGCTCGGAGGCCCAGCTGCAGTGCTCTGGGTGGATGAGGCCTCGTTGCTGCCGATCTCCCCATGCGCAGAGCTTTGGAGGCATGGCTTCTTCTTAGGGTTTAGGGTTTAGGGTTTAGGGTTTAGGGTTTAGGGTTTAGGGTTTAGGGTTTAGGGTTTAGGGTTTCGATTCCTCAGTGTGCTTGGCACATCTTGGCACCTTGTCCTCTCTTATTCGGCTGTTCTCGAGATGTCCTGCTTTGAAGGCTCTGGGCCTGCGCATTGCTGCGGATGCAACGGAGGCGTGACCTGAGTTTCAGTGTTTCTGTAGGGCACGGTCGCCTTGCCTTACCAAGTGCCTTGCAAAGTGCCTGGCAAAGCGCCTTGCAAGTGCCTTGCAAACAGCGCCTTGTGAAGCCACCCGAAGCGTCCGCTAAAGCCTCGTGGGGAGTTTTCGGGGAAACAAGCCGGGAAGAGACTAAGAGATGAGATGTGTGACCTCTGTTTGGGGACTCAGGTGCCCGCAGAGGTCCGCGGAGGCCTCAAGGCGGATGCCGCTGTTTTTGAGTTCCGCTCTCTGCAGAGCTGTACCTTTTCCTTTTAAGGTGTTTCTGCTTCTTCACACGCAAATCTATATATGTATATATGTATATTTTCAAAATAGATTTTTATGTTTCTGTGTATTTTTAATTAATTATGTATGCATATTGACGCAAATTCGGCCAGCCTCGGCTCGGCCAGCACCTCAACGTGAGACGTCAGACTGCGACTCAGAATGTCACGACGCGGAATCCTACAGCTTGGAAGCCTCTATTCCAAGCCGCAAAGCCGAAGCCTCCACACTTCAGAGGGTTTCCAAAACTCTCAGGCCTATAGGCCCTACAAGGGCCACCAAGGCAGCCAAAACAAAGCTCATAGGAGGTCCACGGCCCAAGGCGGTGGTAGGGGGGTCACAGAGGGGACCTCTTTGACACACAGCCCTGGTCCAACAGGGGCATGGGAAGGTCTCGAATCCCCTCCCCCTAATATTAAACCCCCCCTACCCCAATATCAAATGCCCACCCCCCCCATTATAGTTATACTGTAGTATATTAGGGGATTAAGAAGTCGATCATGCCGCGGTCCATTTGGCATCCTAGAGGTCCGGGTGTCCAGACGGTGCAGAGGGGAGTTTGGCGAAGAAGGTGGGAGAACAACCCAAGACGCCTGAGGCCTTGGGCCCCGGCGTACATACACGTATCTACATAAATAGACAGATGTGTATATGTGTATATAGAGACACGCATCTTCTCTCCCTCTCTCTCTCTCTCCCTCTCTCTCTCTCTCTTTCTTCTTTTTTAAACTTTTGTTGTGGCCCTCTCATTGAATTCTCAGTGAAACCTTCATCCACCAAGTCTGTCCAAGCTGCCAGGCGGAGCTCGTGGCCGTGGTCCTGGAGGCCGCTTTGCTTCCCAGGGCTCCCTGGAGCCGAAGGGGATCTCAACCTTTTGCTGCCCAGAACTCCCTGGAGCCGAAGGGCAAGGGCAAGGACTTTAAGGAGCCGGACAAGGCCCTTTTTGTGAGCCGCTTTGTATCCTTGTGTCAGCCCTGAGAAGACGAACTCAGGGCAAGGGCAAGGGGCCGCGGAAGCCGCTTTCTGAGCTCCAGGACCGAAGCGCCTGAAGCGGGCCCGCCCTCAAAAAAAGCTAAGAAGCTCATTGCTCGGGTTGTTGAGTCCGTCGAGTCCCCTGCTACGTTGCAGGACGTGCTCAGGGCAGACTTGCCAGACACCTAGCAGGACGTCGGTCTCCTGAAACCTCGGGAGAACTGGAGCCCCAGGCTTTCCTGGGGCAGCGTGCTGTGCTGGTTCGACAGCGTGCAGGCTCAGCTGGAAGTAGGATTGGTTTTCAGGGTTTGTGCTTGTCAGCTCAAGGAGAGAGCTTGGTGTTTGTTCCTGCAGCCGGCTGCAGATGCTGAATGACTTAGCTCTTATAGCTCCCATCCCAAGCGAGTCCCTCCCATGACCTTGGCCGGCGAGCTATTGAAGGATGCCACAGCGGCCAGGAAGACTTGGAGCGAACGCCAGACAGAGAGATTCGCCAAGGCGTGCCAGAAGCGGGTGCGGGACAGCCAGGGCTTCGAGACCAGCGCCAGCCTGAAGGTTCTTGCCCCAGCCCAGACACGTCAGGGTGCCCAGAAGGCCGCGCAGGAACTGAAGCGAAGCCTGGATGCGCATGGCTTTGCTGCCTCCGACGTGCAGGTGGAGGCTTTGGCAAAGGGCATGATCTTCCGTCTCTCAGTTCAGGCTTCCTGGGTGAGGGATGAGCCTCAGAAGACCGAGACTGGTGGATTTCGTGGGCAGTGCCCCGTCTGCCTTGGCTCGAAGGTTCTCGTGGCCCTGGCTCCTTGTGGTCACACTGTGTGCCATCAGTGCAAGGGCAAGCTTCCAGCTGGCAGGAAATGCCCGATGTGCCGCTCTGTTGTGGAGCGGGTGACGGCTGGAATTTTTGTGTCATGAAGGATGTGCGGCATGTGCCGTATGTGCAGTAGGGTAGATGTTGAATCTTGGTAGAGCAATGTAGGGCAAATGCAAGTGGTAGGATGTTCGGGGTCAATGTGCCCACAGCCATGAGCAGCTGTGCTGCTTCACGGCATTGTCTTGGTGCTCAAGCCACATTAACTCTGATTCAGATAGTTGCCTTCATGGTCATGATTTGTCATGCGCAATCATGTATCGTCAGACGCTGAGAGCCTGAGCACTTTCTGGCTTCTGCCAATGTCAACCTCACATCATGCCAGCATGCTGCGAGTGAAGCGGACTTGGAGTGTCTTTCGAGCATGGGCTCCCCCCGCGGCACGTCCCATCATCCCGTATAACCGGCAAATCGTTAGTCACAACTTAGTCCTCTCGTTCTGCTTCATCGGCACAGACTGCGCCTCTTGCTCTCAATCCCTGCCAGGACTGCCTTCCAGCCGAGTTGCGCGCCCGCCTTCAGAAATGCACGGAGCCAGCGCCACGCCCAGGGAGGCAGGCTTATGTGCTAAGGCCAGGAAGTCCAATGGGTGCCATCCTTGGAGCTTTGTATCCATGGCTTCGTCTCTCTAAGGGCCGCGGAGGCTTGGCGTTGTTGGCGGATGCCTCGAAGACCGGCGCGCTGCCGGTCGGGATCCCGAGGAATTCAGTAGCCAATCGGGTTTGTTACTTCGTTCAGAGCAGACACTGCACTGGTGCACCGGTCGTCCTGGGTCCCGGCCATCCTTCTTTCTTCAAATGGATTTCAAATGGCTTTCCTCCGAAGCAAGAGCTTGCCTCTTGCCGTCTCTTGCGTTTTTTGTTTGCTTCTCTCGCATGTGGTCTCCCTCTACATCGTGCCAAGGTTGCTTCCGTTTCTAGCCTGGTGTCCAGTGCTGGCGACGCGCTAGACGCTGGCTTGCAGCGAGTTGATGCATGGGACTCGCTCGGAGCCACTCGTGCCCTCGCTGCAGACCTTCCTTGTCCTGCGAGGAAATGGCCGGCTTACAGGATGGCGCTGAAGCTCTGCGCAGCCCGTCTAAGGTCCGCTTAAAGTTAAAGCACCGCCCTGGGAGACCTGGAGCTGCCCCACTCGAAAGCTGCGAGCACCCTGTCCATTTATGGCTTTGTCTGTTACGAACCAAGGCACCTGGCACGGGCGACTGGTGGAGGCCAACCCCCCAAAAAACCCCCAGTGCCCAGGAGGTGGCACAAGACCCAAAGTCGCCTTGCAACTTAATTGAATTCTCCCCAGGCCAACGTGATCCTTCAGGGACTGGCGACTCGTCTAAACCTCCAGTGTCTGTATCTTGAGCACAGGTACATCATTTACATTTCGATCCGACAGTTATGACGCACGAATGCAGAGACAGACTGTTTCTGGGGCATGCGCTAAGTCACTGATGCCTGATGCAAGTTGGAGCAAGATCAGGTGGCAAGCTGCCAGACTCTGTGGCCAAATGACACACCTCTGCTGATGGCTGTCGGCAGAGTAGCGGAGGCAGCGCACGTGCCATCGCTTCTTGCTCACCACGTGCGAGGAATGCATAGTACTCCGGTGACACTGCTGGCAACTGCGTTCACAAGAACTGCTAACAGTGTTAACCCGTTTTGAAGATGCAGCCAAGATGCATTCTCAAAGGACCTGCCAAAATCCGCGCAATGTATACCAAGCCTCTGCCGTCCAATGACTTGAGGGGCACGTGATGACACATGTACTTGGAGGTTGATAGTACTTATTATCCAATGATAGCTGTACTTATAGCCCACTGATAAGCCCCTTATTAACCAAGTAAAACTGTACTTCTAACCCACTGATAACCCCCTTAAGTAATCTTGGGCTGGCTGCGACTTGCTGTGCAGAAAGAGATGCAGGCTTGGCCGGAGCTGCCTGCGGCCTCGGCCATTGCGGGCCTTCAAGGCTGCCGCCTTTCGTCCTTTGGACGAGTTTAGGGCTTTGTTGCTGGTTGCTTCTACATCAGCAGCCCGGCTTTCGTAGGAGAGACTTCGCCGGCCTTCTCCCAGGCAGGGTGGGAAGTTCCATCTGCTGGTAGCCCCTAACCTCCCAAACCCTACAACCCTAAGCTGAGAAAACTGGGAAACCAGAGGTGCCTTCCACGCTGTTGGTGGTCAGCCCTGCCCTCTCCTTGCTGGGCAAGTCCGGGGCCTTTCGAGTGCGCCGCCCAGTGCTGGGGGGTGCAGAAACAGGGCTTACCAACTTACCATCAAAGCCCTAAAGTCTAAAGGGCGTCTAGGGACGAGAAGCCGGGCCTTCATCCCGAGGCATTGTGGTCTCATGAAGGCTGTGGTGCCGGCTGCTTCGAGCCAGCAGAGCTCCAGCTGCTTGGGATTTGGTCGTTCTTTTGCATCTCCGGGTTGGCGAGGGCCAGGGGCTGAAGAGGTTTGAAGAGGGCTGCAGTTGTGTGAGGCTCGCTGCGATCGCGTGGGCCGGGTTCTACACCTCCTTGCAAGCACCAGAGGCGTGGGTAGGAGAAGAGGTGTCAACTAGGCTGCCGCGACGTCTTTCAAAAACCGCAGGACTCTGAGCTACCTCTTCCAGCCCTGGAGCCCGTCCTCGCGAGGCAACTGCACAAATGCAGAATAATTCGCTGAGCTTGCAGGGCTTCGATATTCCTTGGCATCCTGGGAGGGCCGGTGGCCCAATTGGGCCGGTGCTAGGCGGTTTTTTTCTCCTTTGCCGGAAACGTCCCGGGAGAGCCGTCTCGGTCCAGGTGAAAGGACGATGCCATGCGTACGGTCGCCGCCGAAGCTCGTAACTTTACGACCGGCGCATTCATCTCCCTTGCAAGTCTCCACCAGGAAGGAAACAAGTGCAGTAACTACCAACTGATGGGGGAGCATATTTGCCCATGCATTCTAGAAGGTAAAGCGACAGAGACGTGAGATGAAGTGAGGCTCCTTTTGGGAAGATCTGAGCACCCGTTTGGCAATTTCCGTTCTCTGGGTTTGATGTGTGGGGTTTGTGTCGCGAGCAATGAAGATCACGTTGGGCTATAAGCCTTCGCACGCCCTCGCACAAATACGGGACTCGCTCCGATGACCTCGTCCATCACGATGCTGTTGGGCCGAGCCCCACGAGGAGACTTTTGGAGTCGGGTCCCAGCGTGAGCTGGAGGGTATGTGTGGAGCTTGGAGAAGCTGCTTCAGCTTGGTCGGGTTCGGTGGCCACTTCGGCTAGCTTCTCCATCAGGTTGTGCAAATGACATGCTCACTAAACCATGCTCATCATGCGCATCATGCTCTACTACCGTGCTCTGGTAGCTGCATGTAGCATTGCGTCGCCTTCGCAGGCTCCAAGATGCCGAAGAGCTGCGTCTGATGGCAGTCACAGGACGGGGGACAACACAGAGTACGAACATGTACAAACACATGCTACTCTGCTTATCGCTGGGCTGTAAATGGTTGAGTCATGGATGGTGCAGGGCGAGTCGGGCAGGATCCACTCTGCAGCTTTGTGACGGCAAGACCGTGGCTTGGGCCACCTCAGATCCGAATCCGGAGTGGGAGGCGCACAAAGGAAAGGGAAGACCAGGGGGTTTGCCCGAATCCAAAACAGCAAGTGAAGACCCATTCATAAGTACGAACATGCATGTGTGTCGATCAAACTGTCTATCATTGTCTATCTATGTATACGGTTGCGCCGGGGTTGCCTTCTGCAATCAGGGGCATATTATATAGTTTTATATTATAGTACACATTGTAGATTCTACATATAGAAAGAAAAAAACAAGTAAGAAGGCAACACGTGTCGGGAGGCCGCAGCCGCTGACCTGGTCCGGAAGCTTTGGCACAGCGTGAGCGTGAGGCGCTGCCACAGTGCTCTGCAGAAGACGCTGTCCGGACTCCGGGAGAAGCTCCTGGACGAGAAGACTGGGCAACAGGAGCTTTTTCTGGCTGGTTCGTAGCAGGGAATGAGGGAATGAGGTACCCTATATCCCCCTTATATTTATATGTACCCTTTAAGGGAATATATAGGGTACCTCCTTGGGGTTTATGTGCAAGGTCAGCTTGATTTTAGATGGCGATCTGGAGCTGGAAGACCCAACGTGTTCGGCGCGTTGTGAACATGTTTCTGGCCTCCTTTTTTTGTGGGCCCTCCGTTGTGAGGACGCAGATGCTGCATTGGATGTTCTCGCGAGGCTGAAGGCCAGGAATTCGCGTTGCAGGGCGGTGAAATGCATGCCGAGCGTCGAGGGGCAGTGAAGAGCACGATGCTGTGGCCAAGGAGGCTTTTCAGAGCTGGGAGACCACGGCTTTGAAGAACCACGCACCTTGGCCCAACGTGCTCAGCATCTCGATCCCCGCACATTGAATGGTGACAGTCTGATCAACCTGCTCTTCCCTGATGAGGCCCCAATCGGAGCACTGACTGCGCAGATTGATGCTCGCCTCCTGATCCACCCGGAGGCTGGGAGATCATGGAGGGACATTCTGCTGTGCGGTTTGTAGGGGTGTATAATGCTGGAAACTTGTCGAGTGCCTGACACACATGTCATTGAGTCGCACGGAGGCCATGATGGCAAGTGTGCTGAAATCGTTCGAGATGCTGCAGTGGCTGCGTGGCTGAATCCTAGCTTTGTTTGCCTTGCCGTTCTGGTGGAGGACCTTCTTGCGCACAGTTCTCTCACATTGTGACTTACACCAGGCTGCGAAAGATGCCGGATGATGCAGACTATTTGGCCCCACGCTGCAATAGCCTTTTGAATTGTGGTAAAGGCATCCTCTCAGCTCGGGCATCGAGGGTTGCATGATCCATGTATGGTCCATATGCCGGTTCATATGCGGTCATATATGGAGATACATGTGTACATATGTAAGTTCATGTTACTTGTGTATGAGCTCAATGTGATTCCAAGGTTCGAATCGAGGTGGCGCTCAACCGATCGGAAATGGAAGTCCCCACGGAGTTGTGGCTTGCTGAAGAAGGTGCGCCTGATGGCGAGGATAGTCCGATAGCCTTCCCCTCCTCACCTGTAAAAAGTTTTGTAAACAGCACCGAGATGCAGCCATTACAGTCGTGGTAAGATGATGGATGCATACGCTGAATTCTTGCAGGTGTCTGTGGTGCAAGATGGTACATGCAATGGCTTGCCAGGTCGGGTAGATGAGAGCAAGCTGTCTGCACTCACGGCCGTAAGGACGACGCTGCACGCTCCTGGGAGGCACCAGGTCCTTCGAAGTAAGTTCAACGGATTGAGATCATTGTGGTTGTGATTGTTGTATGTTTCTTTTCTTTTTGTTGAATATGTTGCCGTGGTGGCGGTTCTGCGGTCGTGGTTGCGGTCGTTGTTGCTGCTCCTTGCTCCCGCTGCTCCTGCTCCTCCTGCTCTTGTTCCCGCTGCTCCTGCTGCTGTTGTGCTGCTGTTTCTGTTGCCGTTGAATCTGGTTCTTGCTGCTGTTAGCGTTCTTCTTGCTGTTGCTGTTGTGGTTGTGGCTTCTGTGGTACCTCAAAACACATGCATCAGTTGACTTGATACCACACCAATATGGCTTTGCGGCATCGTCACCTTTCCGAGGCCCTCATCTACCGTCCCAAGAGCCGTTTCCCCTCTCTCGATGCCTTGCTGGAGTCTTTGTCCACGCTGGAGCATTCCTCGGAGATTCCAGGAGCCCAAGAGGGGCTTAGCTGCTGTGGCTATTGAGAGTGGTGGCAATGAAGATGCAACAGAGCCTCTTGCTTTCTGCAGCCCAGAGTTGATCAGAATTGCTAAGGCTAGGGAGGCCTTGCAGTAAATGCATGAGTGGTCCAGTTTGTAGCTCAAACTGGCCTTGTGAAGATGCCTTGGGGGGGGGTTCGCGTGCAGGCCTCATCCATGCAGTGGACTTCGCCTTCTCCCTGTTGGAACCCCTCTCGGAGCTGTTGGGTGGCAAGGCCTCTCAGGGGTTCTCATGGGCGCTAAGGATGTCCTCGTGTGCTTGGGAACAGGACGCTGCTTTGGCGCGCATGCTGCAGATGTTGAAGCCCAGCAGCTACGCACGCTGGGTGCTGTGTTACCCGAGGCAGGACACCTAGTCATTTCCACGCGATGGCCCCTTTGTGTCTGTGCTAATTGTTGTTTCTGGTCGGCAGGTTAGCAACTTCCAGTATGCCATTGGATGAGAAGGCTCGTGAGGAAGAAGAGGAGGAAACTTTGGCGCAAACTCCTGCCGAAGCGCGGATGCTCTACCTCCTCCTGAGCAGTCCAGGCTGGACAGGTGTATCGGGTGTGGTTACTGAATTTCGCGGCAATACGACAGGCCAAACAGGAAACGCGGCTAATGAGGCTCTGGACACTAGCGAAGATCTTGCGGGTGCTTCGTCCACGGAAGGGGTCAAGTAACAAAGAATGCTTTCCGGCACCATAAACTTCTAAAGGCTGACGCACTGTTCTTTGCGGACCATTGCCTCAATAGACCTCATAAGATGCTGGGGACACCTGATGCCCCCGTGCACCATGCATCTCCGCATTTCCTGGTTTCCAGACGCAGCGCAGACAGCTCCACAGCGGCTGGTCGAAATCCTGGACTTCCAGGCGTCCTTCTCAACCTAGCAGAGGATGGTTCAGAATCACGCTAGCCAGTGTTAGAAGCAATGCTAAGTGTCACAAAGTTTTCACAAAGAGGCTCTCGTGACCACCTTCGAGTGCAGAGTATTCTGCCGGCTGTGCAGGCTTCGGTGACGCTGGCTGCAAGCACCTTCGATGCAGCATTTGGACAGGCCATGGCCCTGAGCATTCCCAGATGTGTTTTTTCGCCCAGATGCAGAAAGTCAGCAGAAGTAACATTGCAGAGGCATATTGGCTCCAGCATAGAGCGATCACAGCGAGCGGTGGCCATGGATGACAGATCCTCGCGGACAGAGCGCACTGACATATCCAAGCTCCCTTGCGTTTTGGCCTGCCTTTGTGGATTTGGTTGGGCCGTGATTTGCTTGGCCTTTACATCGGCATCCTTCATGCGGGATGAGCCTGTGAGCAAGCTCATTCTGGGAACAGTTTGGTGCCTTTTCTTAGGCGGCATGGCTGTGTCAGCATTGGTCTTAGTTCGTTCACCAAAGGCCAAGTCTGGGCACGAGTTTGTTTGGGCATGCGTAAACCTCGACAAGCTCGGCGAAGCCACACCACAGTTCAATGTTGTCCGCCTAGAGCCCGGAGCATGCAAGCCTTGTTTAGAGCGAAAAGCCAGCCCAGCGTGGACAAAACCATACCCGCAGAAGACGTGCCTTTGCTGCCTGGAAGATTTCCAGTCGCAGGATACGATGGCCCTGCTTCCTTGCGGTCACGTTTACCACGAGAGCTGCCTTGTGGACTGGTTCTCGACCCGGAAGACGCAAGGCACCTGTCCACTTTGTCGTTACAGCACAATCGTCTAAGAAGCGCTGCACCTGAAAAACCTCGGTGTGACGGTGAGATTGCAGAATCTGAGAGGGGTGTTGCCACCACGATTCCTGAGACGACATACGTTACTGGTTCTTTGACCCGCAAGTGAATTAGCAACTTTTAGATCATTTAGGACCGTGGCCTGATTCTGGGCCGCAGGTTTATGCATCCGCACTCCGCCTGAAGGCGGGTGTGAGATCTTTGTTCAGACAGCCATGGGCGGCATCGCGTTCGGCAATCGACGATCTAGGTGCCAGAGGATTGCCGATCGAGGTGCTGCTTCTTTAAGATATCTTCTTCTTTCGCTGGCCTGGCCCGGTTGCTTAATGGCTCCTGACCGCAGGTAGATTGTTGATTTAAGTAGGTCCTTGACCTTTGAAGACAATCGCCGAAAGACCGAAAGAACAGGTTTTTGCATTTTGTACAGGATGGATGTACAGGCACTGTTTCCATCATGAGACATCTCGCAGCACAGCCGGTGCTTGACTGGCCTTGCTGCCCCTCTCCAGATTAGGGAGAAACTGCATGCTTGCTGACTTTCTGTGGAGGTCCTGTCAGGGCAGGGTTTGGGTTAAAGACAGGTCGCTATTGCGCAGACGGGCTGGCTCCAGCGTAGACCAATCCAGCACAGCCAGAAACGGCCATGGATGACAGGCCTCCAGCTATGGAGATGGAGCAGATTGAGACATCCAAGCTCCCTTACATTTTGGTCTCCCTTTGTGGCTGTGGTTGGGTCGTCCTTTGCTTCGCCTTTACATCAGCATCTTTCATGCAGGATGAGCCGGTGAGCTTCGGCAAGCTCGTTCTGGGAATCGTTTGGTGCTTTGTCTTGGGTTGTACGGCTGTGTCAGCATTGGTCTTCGTTCGTGCACCGAAGCTCAAGCTTGGGCGCGAGTTTGTTTGGGCACACGTGGACTTAGACAAGCTCGGCGAAGCTACACCACAGTTTAACGTTGTCCGCCTAGAACCTGGAGCATGCAAGCCTTGTTTAGAGCGAAAAGCCAGCCCAGCGTGGACAAAACCATACCCGCAGAAGACGTGCCTTTGCTGCCTGGAAGATTTCCAGTCGCAGGATACGATGGCCCTGCTTCCTTGCGGTCACGTTTACCACGAGAGCTGCCTTGTGGACTGGTTCTCGACCCGGAAGACGCAAGGCACCTGTCCACTTTGTCGTTACAGCACAATCGTCTAAGAAGCGCTGCACTTGAACCTCTGCAGTCGTGGTGGTCAGATTGCAGAATCTGAGAGGGGTGTAGCCACCACGATTCTGAGGGTGCCATGCTGAGACGACAGCAATCTCTGTGTTCTTTGGCTTGCATGCGAATTAGCGAAATTTTAAACAGACTTAAGACCGCAGCCTAATTCGGGTTGGGTTGCTGGCTTATAACTCTGCACTCTACACGTGCAGGACTTGACAATCTTTGTTCTGACAGCCGCGGGCGGCACCTCACTCGCAAGCAAACACGTCGATACCGCATGCGCACAGCACCCACCCCATGGGATTTCCGATCGAGATGCTGCTCGCTTCAAGATATCTTCTTCTTTCATGGGCCTGGTTGCTTAATGGCTTCTGGCCGCAGGTAGATTGTTGATTGTAATTGGGTCCTTACCTGTGGAGACAATCACCGAAAGATCGAAAGAATATGCTTCCCTTTGCATTTTGTACAGGGTGGATGTACAGGCACTGTTTCCATCATGCAAACATCTCGCAGCAGAGCCGGTGCTTGACTGGCCTTGCTGCCCCTCTCCGGATCAAGGAGAAAAGTTCTGCTGGAGCCTGCCTGAGGTTCCAGGCCATGAAACCCTAAACCCTAAGCCCTAAACCCTAAACCCTGACCCTAAACCCTAAACCCTAAACCCTAAACCCTAAACCCTAAACCCTACACCCTCAACCTTAAACACCACGGAACTAACACCAGTCCACGGAGGTTCGGACCTTCAATGAACACATCGGGCTTGTCCGACTGGCGGCGGCCGCCAGGAACCCAGACCAATGCCTCGAGAACGAGGGCAAAAGAAACACACATAGATGAACCTATACTTAGAAGGAGAGTAGGTAGCCTTTAACCTTTCTGGGGTAGTAAAATCCCCTAGAATCCCAAAGGTTAACCTAGATGAACCTATTAATAACATGCATACGAAAGGTTCATATTCCTCTCTCGCTCTCTCGCTCTTCCACTTTTTTTTTCATATCTGCTGCTGAAAATAGGAGGCAACAGCAAGTTTTCCCCATCTCGATGAGTCCCAGATCATCCCTCGAGGTGTTGGATGACTTGCGAGCAGCAGGGCACCCAGATTACCAGGCCCACCAGCTTTTGACCACATTTAGGGTTTAGGGTTTAGGGTTTAGGGTTTAGGCGGAATTTAGGAAGGTAGGTACCTCCTATCCCCTCATATCGTCGAAGCCTGTAGGGAATTCGTCGGAATTAGGGAGTTATAGGTACCCTTGTATCCCCTTATATAGTCGAAGCCTGTAAGGGATCAATAGGAAGCTCTAAAATCCCCATGGAGAGCCAGTAAGGTCAGTCTGCTCTGGTCCGTTCTCAAGTTGAGGGCCCCGTTCGGGGGGCCGCCTTATCATCGTGGCCCCGAGACCTAAACCCTAAACCCAAAAAGGCTCGAAGCCCTAAGGCTCAAACCCTAGACCCTAAACCCTAAACCCTAAATGCTAAACCCCAAACCCTAAACCCTAAACCCCAAACCCCCAACCCAAAGCCCCGACCGCCTGGGTGCAGGAGATCCACGTGGAGTGGCCACTCTCCATGGGTTTGGGGGAGATGAAGAACCAACTCTTTGCCCTCCGTGAGCGCCAGGCAAGGAGCCAATTTTACATAAGAAGCCTTCTACCCCTAGATCCTAAACCCTAAACCCTAAACCCTGAACCAAACCCTAAACCCTAAACCCTAAACCCTGAACCCTAGCCCTAAACCCTAACCCCCGCACCTCCGAACTCCTCAGATCCGCTTCCCATCAGGGCAACTGGCGCCGCAAGTTGACGGACGCCCAGCAGACACACCCGGCACTTCAGCTGCAACCCAAACATTTCAAGGTTTAGGGTTTAGGGTTTAGGGCTTAGGGGTTAGGGTTTAGGGTTTAGGGTTGCCCTGAACCTTAGAGTCCTGAAGCTGCACTGTCGTAACCAAACCAGCGGTAGAGGCACAGGTGTTTGAAGCTTGCTTCCTTGAGGTTCTGGGTTTCTTTGCGGCGCGGCAGCTTGGCTGTCTTCTCAACGCCCTGTCGCGACAGCAACGTGACCGTGTGGAAGAGGCCTCGTCGACTCTGGCTCTCTGCGCTGCCATGTCGGTTTAGGGTTTAGGGTTTAGGGTTTAGGGTTTAGGGTTTAGGGTTTAGGGCCGATGTTTCGACATCGTGCGCGTGCTGCCCTGTTAGGTTCTGGTTGCAGTCGCCTCCACGTGGCTTTGGCAATCCAAGGCCTGCCCAAAGATGCATTTTGAAAAGATGATGGTCCATTTTGTGGTAGCCTAATGGGGGCCATCCAAGCTGCCTCCTTCGCTTGTCGTGTGCGCCGGCGTGCACTTGGCAGTTGATCTCAGTCATGGACGCGTTTTGGTACCCCATTCCAGGAATAGACCGCTCCAAACAAGTCCCACTGTACATGCGGCTTCCCGATTCGATGCGGCCACCAAGCCACCCCCCAAGCCCAGCTGCCTTTTTCGGAGCATCCGAAACCTCCTCTCTTTCTTTCACACTGGGAAGAACTAAGGAATTGGGGAAGTATACAGCCCTGTAAGGTTGAAGGACACGGACCCAGCACCTCAAAGAATTCACATTGAAAATGGCAGGGCAGCCCTCCTTAAGCAATTTCTGGGGGTCTTTGCAGCCCTTGAAGGGATTGTGATGTACGAGCATGGACCCTAAACCCTAAGACTCAAGCACCCCACAGTTTAAGGGGCGCCGAGGGAAGCTTCTTTTCCTCCCCAGAAAGTGAGGTGCGGGCATGGGCCTCCGACCTCCTTGAGCAATGCGTGGTCCAAGACGCTGCCCAGGAACTTTACAGAGTTTTTTGGGTTTTTTCAGGGTTTGAACGGTGAGGTATTACCTTCAAGGCCAGTAGAGTGCAATGTCGGGCTGTGATTTTGGGTTTAAAGTTACCCCTTGTGTCGGCTAACTTTGCGTTCCGGTGACAGAATCGGGCGCCGCTGTCACAGCGACTCGTATTCCTTACTGGTACAAGTTGAAAGCATCGGTTCGGAAGGGCCTTTCACACACCCGCGCATCACGTCATGAGTGTTCCGCTGAAGCCACGAAGGTGTATATTTCTGGGCGTCCTTGAATATCTTGAATGCCTTGTGCATGCAGGATGATGCCGAACGGCTGAAACAAGATTCAGAAAACCTGGAGAACTTGGCCAGCGCGCTCGAGGCGGGGCTAGTTGGTGAACATCTTGAACCTGTTCATATTGGAGTTCCGAAAATGGGGGAACCCTTTTTGGGGGCCCTTTTAAGGGGGTTCTATTCCATTTGAGGTATAAACGGGGTACCCCTATTTCGGGAAATACCAAATGTTGCCGACAGCGAGGAACGCGCCTGTGACGTGCGCAGGCGACGTGGACGCGTCACGGAGCCGAAGCGGTCGTGCGGGCGCCAGCCGCGGCCAGCGATGCCGGCGAGGCGGCAGAGCACGAAGCGAGACATCACCCCTGAACCCGAAACCCTAAACCCTGAACCCTAAACCCTGAGCCCTAAACCCTACGGCGGAAGCATGTCAGCAGATTGTAGCAGATGATGGTCTGGGCTTTTCGAGGTGCTTGGGCAGCTTGGCCCTGGAGCCCACGTCTGGGTCTCGAGAGCGGTGTTCAGCCACATGAGGCTCACTCCTAGGTAGGATAAGGGGGACCCTTAAAGGGGAACCCCTTCTTAACCCTCTTCTGGTTCTCTTAAACCGGGACCTTATTCAGAGGGTCTATATCCCCAAGGGTCCCCCTAATCCTATCCCCTACTCACTGACTCGTCTCCGAGGTGGTCTTGGCGCAGGACTACTACAGCGCTGTCGCCCTGCTGCTCCCTGGCAGGATCTGCTACTAATTGCTTAAGAACCCCCAACAAAAATGCACAATATTCTTCCTTGTTAAGGGCAATGTAGGGATTATGATTTTCTATTTTTTAGGGGGGTTCTTTAAGCAAGTAGTAGTCTGGTGCAGGATGCCAGGATCAACCTCAGACCTCAGAGTCTCGGAGGGTTTTCTCATGGCTTGTTGGCCAACACACCCCCAAATTTGGGACCCACTATAGGGCACACCAGCGGCCACCAGATCACACTCACTTGAGCCACCTCCAAGGCCCTCGGCCAAATCCTGAAGGGTCTGAAGTGACGGTGGTGGTTGTAGTGTTGCTAGCATTCTGGATCACTCCTCGGCCCACTTCAAAGCGCTCTAAAGGCTCTGGCCCTTTCTGGCCCGACGGCTTCGGCCTGCCGCCTGGGAGGCGGCGTTTGCCTGAATGGAAGCATTGAGGGTCTTTAGGACCTTTCGGGTGCATGGGGTGTAAGACGTTTCTCTTTGTAGGTGTGGGAGAGGCTGACGAGACACAATTCTGGAGTTTGTTCGTCTTCTGCGCTGGTGTTCTGGCGATGTCGGTCATGATCTTTTGTGCGAATGCAGCGACCGCAGGTGCCATAGGCGCGGTTCTGGCCAGCCGGTTTCTAGACAAGGTGAACTCTCCACTACTGTGCAGAACTCTGTTGAGGTGCTCCCGTGCCACCTTCGAACCACGCCCGAGTCTGTGCAGTTGCTCTTGCTGAGGCTAGATCATGACCTCCGACGTGTGATGTTCAACTTGGATTGTTTTGCTGACTGGCCTGGAAGCCTTTAACTACGGTCTGTGTGCTTCAGAATCACCATCAGCATTTTTGCAGGGAGCAAAGCTGCTTCGTGAACTTGCGTGAGGTGGGCACACTGCCAGCCCGGACAATTCTTCGCGCTGCTGCTTCCTGCGGAGGTACCGACGCGCCATCAAGCGCCAAAAGCCCTGAAAAGACTTGTGCAGAGAATGTAACGACATTGCTTCACGGATTCATGTGACCAACTGAAACCCAGGCTTCCTTTGCTACGCAACAAACCGTGGTCCAGGCTGCCCGGGCCTTAGAACGCGCAGTGCATGGTGAGGCTGTGGCTTTGCCCTCCTTTTGTTCTAAGTTGTCAGGTGCATGATGCAGTGGACCAGGCTGGCGCGACTTCTAATATCCCATTTCACGCCCATGCGCCAAATCGGTCGTTGAAGCTGCGCCTTGCATCAGAGGCAGGGCCACTACCCTCGCCGAAGTGTCCTTTGCTGATCCTGGTCTGTGGCGAGCATGCCGCGCAGGCCACGGGTAAGTTGCAGTAGTCCAATGGATCATGAACGCAATAGAAGCAGGAGGGATCTCCTCCGCACTAAGTGACGAAGCTGTGTTGGAAGTGTATTGGGCACAGGCTCATATCTCCACGCAGCTGATGCAGCACCGCGTCGAGGCGTCACAACCTCCTGCCCACGAATTTTCCGACAAGGCTGGAGTTTGCTGGGACTTTTAGCGATTCCTGAGGGCTTGAAGTTGATTCGAGCACATGTTGACAAGCACATGAACACAACGAATACACATGAACACAATGAACACGCACGAACCATGGAGTCCGTCAACATTGCTCAGCGCGTTGGTACGCAGGGAAGTTCAATGCTTTCGGATGCCCTGAGATTGTCCAGCTGATCTCTGGCGGCACAGCCGCTGCCCCATCGGTGCATGTCGGCCCGTTCCCTGCCTGACACTCGAGAGGGGTGAGTGGGGTGTGTGGGGGTTCAGATTTGCATAGCATACGTGGTTTTGCAAGGTTGAGGGTCAACGTCAAGTGTGATAGAAGGAAAGGATCACTTCGAGCCTGGCAGAATGGACAGCACAGCTTCGAGAAGTGTGGGCACATGTTGACATGTGTCAGCTTCCGCATCCGGCTCAGGCATTGTGGATGCGGCAAGACATTCTCGGTCCGCCTGTCTGCAAAGGACGCCCTCAACGAAGTCTAAGCTCAGTGCAAGAGTCAGAATCTCCCAAAACCTCCCAAGATGAGGCCTCCCTAAACCCTAGAAACCCTGAACCCTGAACCCTAAACCCTGAACCCTAAACCCTAAAGGCCCTAAACCCTATAATATTCTACAATCCAAACCCGAAGCGGAGGAGCAAGATGCCAGCTACCGGCAGCTGAAGCTGACGGCGGCCATGGGCTTCGGGGCCCTGGCGCGAAGCCTTCGTGGAGCCGTCGAAGGCGCAGCGGACACTCTGAGAGAAGACCCCCATCTCTGAAGACACTCTGAAGGCCCCACCGTGTTTTTCCTTGGCTGTTCTATGGTCCCGGTGTTCTGATGTCCCAAACCTCGAGGCGTTGAAGGGCCGGTTTTGCTGCACTTGGACCTCACGGCTGGGCTACCGTCGCGGACTGAGGCTTTCCAAAACTTTCTGCGTGCAAAAAAGGTCTCGTGTACCCTGGCTGTACACTCAGAGCCTGACCCTAGGCTGCTGAGCTCCGAGTCCTTTGCTGCTGCTCTCTTCGACCCTCGTTGCATGCGGACACGCCTTCGGGGCAGTGAATTGCAAGGAAAGGGCTTGATCAGCTCTCAGCTCTGGAATACCAGCACCTGAGGCTTCCGCTCACAGACCCATGTGTTGTTTGCTACGAACTTCGATCGATCCAAGGAGCTCATCTTGCTTGGCCGCGTGGCTCGCGTCGGAGCCGAGCGAGGCGACGCCGTCTTCCAGCTTAGCAGCAGGCCTGGCTAGAGGGGAGAAGCTCATGATGTCCTGACCTGTCACACTCGGAACACCCCAAACCTCCTAAGCCCTACGCCCTCACGACCATGCTAATCTCAGCTACTGGTACGTGTAAGTTTCTGGAGTCCGTTGCAGCACAAGAACTTGCGAAAAGAAGGCAAGGGGCTGAAGTTGTGAAGCAACAAGGGGCAACAGGCTTTGCTAATGTGGAGAGTTTTCTTGTTGGTTCTACATAGTTCCCTACTGCCCTAAACCCTAAACCCTAAACCCTGAACCCTGTTCAGGGTAACGGTGGCCATCGAGCTGCCAGCCGGGGTGGAGCAGCCGGATGCACCTCGTCCATACCTTGAGAACTGGGCCCAGTACCCCCAAAATGGGGGCATTCATCGTACGAATCATATTTGGGGGTTTCCGAAAAATAGGGGTACCTATTTGAGGGGTACCCCTATTTTGGGAAGTAACCATATAAGGCTACCCCAGAAAGGGGAATCTTTTGTTCTACACGTACCAAACAGGGGGCAGTACTCAACTAGTCATAAGGGTTGCCCGAAAGAGGGATTCCAACCACCCAGCTGAAGAGTGGCACGGCCCGCATGCTGAAGCTTCTGCCCACAGCCGAGACAGCGCCTTGGCGCTGCGGGCCGCTGTTGAGCGCCTTGGTGTAGTCTTTTGGTTAGGGTTTAGTATTCAGGGTTCAGGGTTTAGGGGTTTAGGGTTTAGCTTTTAGTGTACCTCTTGGTGCAGCCTCTGCTGGCATGGTGAAGCACAGGAATCCTCACCACCCCCGGTCTAACGCTAATGTAGGCGACGGTTTTTACTTGCACCAGCTCTGTTGAGCTGAACAGCTCTGCTGGATGAGCTCATATCAGCCTTGTTTACTTACTGAGTGGTAGCAGTCACGTGTGAGGCTGGCTTCCACGTGTTCACAGCACTGTGAAGGCGGGACGTGAAGTGACGTGTTGCTGGTTGATCCCACGTCACTCCAAGTTGAGATTGTTCCAGTGTCACCGAAGCTGAGCCAACAGTCTAGCCCCTGTCCTCACATCGAGAACCATCAGGCCCCCAAGTCAAGTATGCACAAGCGCGCTGAAAGAAATTGGAGTTGCTTTTTGGGCACTGTTTTTCATGGACCGCGTGGGCGCCCGCTGGGAGTTCCAGGCCGAAGCCTTCTGTGGCGACGAGGCCTCGCTGCGTGCAGGGCTCGGTGAAAGCTTTGCAGCGGCAAGGCGGGCTTGACAAGCCGTGGGGTAACACCTCTTCTTCAACGTCTACTTACTCCTACTTGCGCCCATTTCACATAGAGCAGCTCTGCTGGTGCGAGAAGCCGTGTTGTAGGTGTGTGTGAATATGATCGGTGCAATCGCCAGGCACGACGGCCTGCGGAATCCGGATGCTGTAGCGAATGCCTACCAGCGCCTCCAGTACGTTTGCGGTGCTTTGGTGCCTTGGCAGAAAAAGACGCCTGGCAGTTTGGAGAGAGAATCCTAATCCGAGTCATTCCCTTTGGATTTATTGGGCCCCTTTGCACCCTTTGCACTGATAGCTGCGCCATGCTGTGCCCAAGTCCATTGTCCGGCGTTTGGGTGGCGCCTTTCCTCTGCTCTACGACGGTGCGGAATGCGAGTTGGGAGGCGAAGAGTGCTTCAACTTGCTTCTTGGACTGCACGCCCCACAGCCAAGCCACCGCAAAGGCTAGAAAGTATTTTGTGGCGTTTTAGAACCTCTCGATCAGGGGTCTCGGGTTTCCGAAGTGCCAGTTTTTTCAATTCGATGGAGGCTTGTGGAGTATGCGAAGCTGAAGTTGCGGCCTTCTCTCTGGAACATCTGGTCCTTCGTGGATGTGCTTTATTGGCAGCTGAAGGAGGCTGCGCCTTTGGAGACGTCTGCAGTCTCGGGGGCCCCTTGGAGTTTGACTTCTGGACCTTGGGGATGCATGGTTGTGTCGCAGGTGCACCATCCAGAGTCCGTTGCCAACCAAGCCTGCATCCCGGAGGAGCTCCCTTGTGCTCTGTGTTCCGGCTTTTGGCTCCGTGCTGCGTTGTGTGCAGTTTAGCTGTCCGCAGCCAGGAGGGCGCTCCGACGCCCAAGCCGCTTGCAGCGCTGCGGGCCCAAGACTGCCCCATGTTCAAAGGCGCCAGACGCGAGGGAGAGAGAGAGAGAGAGAGAGAGAGAGAGAGCGAGAGACTGGGGAGCCCAAAGCGCTGCAAGCTGTTGTTCACAGTCTACCCAGACCACACAGCGCCTGCGAAAGCCAGGGGAGATTTCGGGCCCAGAAGAGCAGTATGGGCCGAAGCACCCAAAACACCATTCCAAGCTGGCACCGTTGCACTATCCCCTACGTTTCACACAGACATCTGAACTGCACAGCTGGGGAGGGAATGCCTGATGTCACACCGTACCTCAACGAACGTAGGGAGGGAGGGGGCGTTCCCACCCTGGGTGCATGTCCGCACTCCAAACCCAATAAGGGAACAAACAGCTGTGTGGCGCGTACCGATTCCCTGGAAATCCATGGAGTTTAGGTGGGGGCTTTTCACCGACAGACCGGTAACCGCTCGACTTCGGGAAGTTCCCCCACCTGGGGGGGGGGCCAAGGGCGCTGGAAGAAAGACAGAGAGAGAGACACACACAGGCCCGAGCACTCACCCATCGCCCACCCAAGTGAATGGGGTGGTTATGGTATGTTGACTCGTTCGAAGGGCCGTGCAGGGAAGGGGGGCGACGAAATACAGCAGCCCCGCGCTAAAGCAACTCCAGTCAGAGCACCGGTAAGAGGCAGGAAATAAGAGGGGCATGTAGCGGGGATGTAGAAGGGGCGCGACCGGGAGACAGATAGATGGGGGGTCGATACCAGGCCTCTCAGGTGCGAGCTGCTGTGGCCAACACGGCCGTGGTAGCTGCAGAGTGACGCGGGATCGGGGCGCGCAGCCGCGCGGGGGTTTCCCCCATGCACCAAAGAAATAAAGAAAGAAGGACACACAGAGAGTTAGAGAGAGAGAGAGAGAGAGCGTGAGCGTGGGCCACACAACGCTCACGCACATAGAAACCCCGATTTGTCAACAAGAGAATGTGTACGAGCAGGCGAGCTCATCGCCTTCATCCTGCGAACCGCACGGGACTTTGCCACAAGGCAGACGTCGAATAACGAGGCGGGAGAGTGAGTGGGACTTGCTGTGATGATGATTCGCTGCTCACTTTACCCGCGAGTCGTGCACCGCTAGAAAGGCCGGTTGGCTCCAATTATATCAGCGAATGTGTGAAACACGTCGCAAATCGAGGAAAACTGCCCATCAGTCCTGAATCCTCACTGGCATCATCTCCATCAGCCTTGTCGTGGACACAGGGCATGCTAGCTGTCTGCGTAGCTGTATATGGTCGGAGGCCAACTTAATGAAGCTTCTTCTGGAAGCTGCCAGCCCGGGTCCAAAGTCCACGGAGATCGTTCTTTGCTCGCTTTTCTCGCTTTTCTCTCAGCGTTCAACGTCATGTGGCCCCCTCGGCCCTCCCAGCCGCTCATCCCCACTCCGGGGCACTTTGCGGCTGCGGCTCGTTGTCGGTCCCTGGAGGTGGATCCAGAGACCGTGGTGGCAGCCCACTTGCACAACTTCCACCAGGCGCAATCCTCTGACACTTCAAGCCCAATCGAGCCCATTCCCAATGAGAGACCCCAGCCTGCATTGCCTCTTGCGCGCATCGTTACCTTTGAGGACCGCTTCTGTGGAACCTGGCGCCTCCAGCCCTTCTCGAGTGATGGCCATCCTGTCTTCGCCAAGTACGACAAGAGTCTTGCTGCTGGTTAGTAGGGAATGGGGGAATGAGATGCCCTATATGATCCGCTAAAGGGTACATGTAGGGCCCTAATTCCCAACCAACAGTAAGGAGTGAGAAGGGAGCAGGGCAGTTCTTCCTGTACTACCGGGCTGCCCAACGCATGTGGGTCATTGATGCGGAGCTGGACAAGGCCATAGATCACTGCGGATCTGTGCAGCACCTGAAGTTCTGCAGCCTCTGCGACTCTACGCCTGGTTGTTTTATATCCCATCTTGCATGAAATATTATCTCGTACTAGAGTGTAAGCAACAGTATAAGTACATTTCAGGCCTAGCGGCCGTGCCGCCGACCCCCAACACAAGACTTTGAGGCGGTGGGGGCGCTGTCACTCAGCCACAGCAAGGGTCCACAGTAGGCTAAAGGGTACAGGCGGCTTGGGCAGCATAGGTTCGAGATGCGGGGGTTCGGGCATGCATTGGAGCCCTCAAAACACTTCATCAAGGTAAAGGGTCCGGGATGCATTGCAGCCCTCAAAACACTTCATTTCAAGGTAAAGCAGCAGGTTGGGAGCAGGCTGGGGCAGGGGGTGGTGGTGGTAGGGGGTCGGGGGGGGGGGGGGGGGGTGGGGGCGGGGAAAGGGGTGAGGGCGGAGAGAGCGGCGGGGGTGTGGGCACTGGAGCCTCATTTCAAGCTTCAGTAAAGCAGCAGGTTGGGAGCAGGCGGGGGCAGGGGAGTAGGGGTGGTGAGCGGCCCTATACACGAAGCACTCAGAGCATGGGAAGGGAGAACGGAGAGAGCGGGGAGGGCGGGGAGGGGGTGGCGCAGGGAAAATGAGTCTTCACTGACGCCGCCCCCACTTCGGGGCTCGGCGGATAGATATATATATATATACATACATACATATGTACTCTTTATTTAAACATCATATGATATGACCGAATGTAATGCAATATGCCATCGTGCGCGATGCACAGGTGGCGCCGGCCTTTGCTTACACTCGAAAGGCGGACTACGAGAAGGGCTGGTGGAGGATGGCATCCTGGGCCACTTTTCCTAAGGGCATTGCTTGCTAAGTTCGTCGGTCAGTGTTCTGGGGTACCCCAAATTTGACAGCGATACCAGGCCTCCGCCACCCCCTGTCGCGCGAGCTGAGGTGCCTAACAAGGGCATGACCCTGGCAAAGGTCGAGCACCCACTCGCCTTCGAGAAGGATGCTGTCGAGGCCGGAGCACCACAGTACCACATCGTGTGAACGGAGCTGAAATGTTCCATAATGTCCCTTTGCCTTTGTTGGGTTCTCCTGTGAGAGGTGCGGGGAGTGGATGAGCAGCTAACAGGATCCCCTGAGGCCGGGATCGCCGCAAGGTAGAAAGGCGGCATCAGCAGCTTTACTCCTAGGATGTGTCCTTGGCATCGAACTATATCGAAGTGCTTGAGTGGAAGCCCATCTACGCGTTGCAAGCTGGGGGCTGTCCACTTCCACAACTCAAGATTCGTCACCAATGAGGAAGGTTGCGCAACGTTTCTATATGTTCTCTGCCAGGAGTACTTGGTGCCACTCAACGGCACATACCTCCGCCAGCCAAAGGAGGAGAACGTGGACGGCAAAGAGCACTATGTTTTAGAGCCTTGGGCCTGTCGTGGGTTTTGAAAGCCGCTGGAAAGACGCGGTTTCCCATGTTCTTATGCAAACGTTCGAGGTTGGGGGGTCCTGGAGTGTTGCAAGAGGTAAGAAGAGTTCGCAAGTGCTTGGTCTGCGCCCTGCGATGCGGTGAATCGAATGCCAGGACTTGGTCAGAACATGCGGGGCTTTGCATGTCGCATTATGTCACTGAACCTGGTGTGCCTTGCAAGGAAAAGCCACGCAGACACCTCTTCTGGGACAAGGGTGCTTTGGCAGGGAGTCCCGATGCCTCACCCAAAAGCACACCGAACACACCTGTTCTCAAGATCTGGATGTTGAGTTGACCCTCCCAGCCAGCTATGGACTCCGAGCAGTAGCTGGGAGGTTGCCTTGCAATTGCACGACACTCGAGACCAAGGCATGGAGACGTGGTGCATCGCCCATGTGTGCCATTCCGATGAGGGCGTCTATGCCAAGTCACAAAGCACCTCAGCCTAGCGATTCTGCAAGGTCAGGTCGCTTCACCAAACAAGAAAGCGTCTGGAAAGCCTTGACCCTAGGAAGTACCATGCTGTCACCCTATGTGACAATGGGCCGAGACGAGCAGGCTCGTGGGTCCACGGCAGGTCTTTGCAGGTACGCGATGCAAGACCAGCCTTACGATGTGTGATGAGTAAGCCTGTCATTAGGGCTCTTAAGGTACTCCCCCCCCTTAGGGTTCGTTGAGAGACAAGATGGCTTTCATTATCCTTATTGGGGGCTTCGCAGATTCCATTGACTCGTGGAAGGTGCCCTCAGCTCGGGTGTCTTTCGTCACTGCCGCCGAGGAGACGGTCGCAGCTGCGAGGCCGGATAGACCAAAGCATACGACAGGATACGAAAGCTGGTACAAGGAAATGAGTAAACCTCAAACCCCAAACCTCAAACCCCAAACCCTAAACCAGTCCTAAACCCTAAACCCGAAACCCTAAACCTTAGGGATTCTTGGGAATAATGCATAATGTTTGGGTACTGTAATTCCTATGAAGCAGCGAAAAATGTAAGTCTTGCTAGGGTTCCAAGTTCAGCATAGAAACCCTAAACCCTGAATCCTGAACCCTAAACCCTAAACCCTAAACCCTAAACCCTAAACCCTAAACCCTAAACCCTAAACCCTAAACCCTAAACCCTATAAGCAAGGCGGCAGCCGCAGCAGGATGACGACTTCCAGCTTCTGCGTTGGGAGGACAGCAGCCGCCCAATTAGCATGTGGAAGGGGTCCGATGTGCTTCTTTAGGGGCCCCTTTTTAGGGCCCTTTCAGGGCTTTTTTAGAGCCTTTTTTAAGGCCTGTTTAAGGGCCTTTTTAAACGCTTTTTTAAGGGCTGTTTTAGGCCTCTTAGTTAAGGAGCTTTATAGGGCTTTTTTTGGGCCCTTGAGGGTTGATCATTGCAGATCTCAACCCAGGTCACGACTGCATGCTTTTTTCGAACCGCCGCTTGGCCAGAAAAGAGAATCAGTGCCCCCCCCCTCCCCTCCCCCCGCCCCCCCTACGTATATGTGCCCAGGGTACCTGGTAGCTCGAGCAGCATCGTCCGCCACAGCACTTTTGACACTGTCCATAGCTTGCTGGCCTGTGCCAGGCAAGCACCAGGTTTGCTTTCTTTCGAGCCAGCCGATGAAGCGTCTTGACTTGAGCAGATCAGCCTGTGAAGCTTCTTGTAGAAAGTCCTACTCGTAGCCTGCGATCGCATGCCCTGAAGGCTGCGCATATCTATGCACCCTGGTCTGCTCCACCTGCTCGAGCGCAATCACGCCTCTTGCCTGGACATGCCCGTGCTAGTTGATGCAGCGTCGAGCCTACTGCAACTCATCCACATCTGCCCCAACTCCCGAGCCTGAGAACATCCCCCTAAACCCCAAACCCCAAACCCCAAACCCTAAACCCTAAACCCTAAGCCCTAAAACCTAAAGCTGGTGCATTCTCTGAGTTTTTTTGAGGTCTCTGTGGGTGAGTCGCTGGATGCCCTGACGGCAGATCACACCAAGATCCTAGGCCGGGCAGTGGTGCGTCGCCCCAGATGCCAGTTTGCGGCAGTTCCCCAAAACCCTGAGTGCTTTGTAGGAAACCCCAAACCCCAAAACCCAAACCCCAAACCCTAAACCCCTAAACCCTAAACCCTAAACCCCTAAACCCCAAATCCCTCAACCCTCAACCCTTTTCAGCCCTCCGCAGGCTGCCTCACCGGAGTGGACCGGTCTCGGAAAAAGGCGGCCCAACTCTTGGATGGCAAATATTGCCTCACAGGCGCTCCAAGAAAGGGGGGGGGGGGTTCAGGGGGGGTTTACCAGGTTGAGGGGGTTTAGGGGCTCCAAGGGGGGGGGTTTCAGGCGGGGTGTCAGGCGGGGTTTAGGGGGTTCAGGAAAGTTGAGGGGGTTTCGGGTATGTAGGATTGGGTTTGGCTGTTGAGCGTCAGGGTTCGGGATTAATTAAGCGGGCCTCGCCTTGAGGTTGCTGTCCGGGATCGCAGGGAGACTTCCAGTACAGCTTGGAAAAATGTCCAGTCAGCTTGGGCGTCAACCCGCACCTTGCGGGAAGGTGATGCAGTTCTGAAAATGCTGGCGATCTTCGTTCGCCTTCGCTGTGGGCTTCCTGTGCGCCTGTGATGGCAATTAGAGAATCGTAGCCATGCCAGCCATGCAGCGCGCAAACTTGTTCCTCAGAAGCCGGGGTTCCCTCAGCTCGGAAGCTCAGCTTTGCTAACCCCAGGATTTTGATGGGCGAATGTGGCTGTGGCAAGACTGAGTTGGCACAGGGCTCAGCAAGCAACCAGCACGAATGATGCTTAGATGCTGTGTTTAGAGGCCAGCCACCTGCAAAACCCGCCACAATCCTCAATCTTCGCTCTCGGTTTAGGTGCGCTATCTCTGTGCCTGGCTGGGAGTGGAGCTGGTCACGCTCAACGTCCATGGTGGCACGACGGAAGTGGACATCGATCGAGTGCCCTGGCCGGCCTTGAACTTTTCCAGGAGCTTCCCAAAAAAATGCAGGACCTGCTGCTGCAGCCGTGTCCTGACGCTCTGAGGTCTTCGCGCAAGCACGGAAGTCCGCACATGAGAAGAGCGAAACGCGCGTGATCGTCTTCCTGGACGAGATTAACACGTCTCACCATGTGAACATGCTCTGCGAGGCTTCCTGTCAGCATATCTCAGAAATTCCCTGTGTTGCTGCTGACTTGTCGTTTTTTGCCTGTGACAAGGCTGTCCTCGAAAGGTCACTGCGCCTCTCGGCTCCAAAATGATGGCCTGGGATGGTCCGTCGATACCCCTAAAACCCTAAGCTCCTCAAGCCTAAACCCCTAACCCCCTAAACCCCCAAACCCCCCAAACCCCCAAAAACCCCCCAAAAACCCCCTAAAACCCCCTAAAACCCCCTAAAACCCCCTAAAACCCCCCTAAACCCCCCTAAACCCCTGCGAGGCGGCGAGCCCCTGCCTTGCAACGTGGACGTCCTGGCGGCGCTGAACCCTCGGAGAAAGCCCGTCGGCCCAGCTTTGCGCCCCTCGTTTTTCCCCGGCGGCGAGCATATTTGGGGGTTTTTCGATATCAGGGGGGGTACTTTATTGGGATCCCTATTACAAGGGGGATCCTACTATTTTGGGGGTCTATATTAGGGGGTCCCTTATCATCGTAACCCCCCAGATTTCTGCTCTCTTGCGAGGCGGCCTGCGCAGCAGCTGACCACCGGCCTCGTCTTCGGCGGCCAGGGCAGTGCGGAGGCGGCTGGGGGTTTAGGGTTTAGGGTTTAGGGTTTAGGGTTTAGGGGTTCCTGGATCCTTCCGTTTTTTTCCGGCCTGCTGCAAGTCCACTGCGAGGAAGAGATGGGCGGCTTGGTGTACCGCGTGCACGCCGTTCCCGAGACCGTCAACGACTTCCTCTTCGACTTCGGGGTGGCAGCCTCGGGCTTTATTTTTTGTTTTTTCAGGATTTTGTAAGGCTTCAAAAGCTTTTGAGACTGGAAAGATAAGCAATGGTTGGGGAGGCAGCACAGGGGCATGCTGATTCGGGGGATTTTGTACCATGTTTGAGGGAGTGTTTCGTGACTGGCTTGTTTCAGGCCTTGACCCAGAAGGCAGAGAGGATGTACATCCGCTCCATGGTGCCTCGGCAGAAATACGGGACAGTCAACATTGCAAAGGGTCCAGGGTTTTGGGTCCAAGAAAAATTGCTTCTCTGCTTGCCTCTCACTTGCGCAAGGAGATCGAGTCCCTGCTCCTTTCAAAAGGAAGTTATCTGTTCGCAGCGCGAGATGTAAGTGTGATGCTTTTAGAGCAAATACAAACAGCACGGTATGCTTTACAGTATATCTCATACCATGTACGGATGTCATATATCTTCACTCACAGCACATGTTTAACTTCCTTTGTTTGATCTGCACAGAAAAGTCCAACGAGTATGTGCCTCCTGGAGGGTTGGGAGAGTTTTGGGGGAAGCTTGACGTGGGTTTTGGGGTTCGGTCGCGAAGCATCTCGACAGCACAGCGGTCCCAATGTGCCAGCCTGGCCAACATTTCCAAGCCAAAACTGCCACCAGAAAACGTCTAACGCACTTGTCGGACTAACAATGCCCCTGCACTTGCGGCACGCCGCCTACAAGCACTTTCAACAAAGGGCCTAACACATTCCACGCCTGCAAGCCCCAATGTAGTAATTACGCACCTCGTGGGCTCAAACAGAACTCACATCGTCATTGGGAGGTGCAGAGTGGCTGGCCCGACAGCCACGAGCGTGAGCAGGAACTGGTGACCGAATTGCTCTGCCTGGCGCAGGTGCGGAGAAAGGAACAGATAGCTGCTATAGATTTTAAACGAGTCTGAAAGTCGGCGTCCAGAGTTTCGCATTGCTGCTACGACGACGACGACGACCAACGTGTCCGCCGGTAATTAGCTTTCACTCTCATGTGCTTCGTTCGTTGGCCACGCCAGGCCTTCATCCGTTGGGAGGAAGGTGATCCTTCAGCAGTTTCTCTGCGAGATGTGTTCAGCACTCAGCTCTTTCATGGCTTTTCATGCAGACCCGACACCTTGCTCCAATTGTGATTCCAGTTCAGGAAGCGCTGCTTGCGAGCGGCGCGGTGGACGCAGGACCTGCTTCACGGGAATCCTTTTCCGATTCTCTTTTTTTAGGGCATACCCCCTACTTTACAGACACATACTCTTATCAAGCACGAGGGCTTCAGAACAAGTTCTCGGGATGCCTGATGTCCGTCACAAAACATGCTGTAACTCGTTAGACATTGTTCGGTTTGATCTCTCCTACCCCTGTTGTGTCCTTTGAGGCTTTGGGAGTGGGGTGGTTGAGCTCCGAGGTGTGCTTCTCAGGGCTCCAGGAGAGCAAGCTGCGCCTCAATGCTTGTGCCACAGGAGCGCTTTGGAAAGAAGACGGCGAAGAGCCAGCCCCACCCTCCCTCGGTGGCTACTTGAACTCAACTTCAGCTGTAACGGTGGTGACGTGCGCCGCGCTATGTTCTTGGCAAGGTTGTTGCCGTGGCTCTGGTGTACCATTACCGCCTTCCCTCTCGAGATAGGCCTGTGGTGAGAACATGTGGGGCCCGCAGCTTGCAAGAATGTTTGGCCGACCAGTCGCCACGCCCTCTGGACGGACCTCACTCGCCGAGCACCCTGGCCGGCAGACAAAGGCGAGATGAAGGGCCGGGGCTGGGCAGAGCTGGGCAAGCTGCGCGAGGCCCGGGAGCCAAAAGACTTCTTGCAGCCGCACTTGTGTAGAAATTCTCATCAGCGCATGCCCGCGCCAGGAGAATGGCCTTACAGTTGCCCGGCAGCCACCTTCAGCGACCACTACAGCGCTCTTCAGGATCCATGCTGCAACGCATTCTGCGCGAAGCCAAGGCCATGGAGAACATCCTCCAAAAGGTGCAGAGCAATGTCGCAAGAGAGTTCGAAGTTGAGAAAGATGTGGTCCAGGGTCTGCATTTAGACTTCACATTCCTTTTCAGCCTCTGCATTGCCAGTGTCAGCGTTTGACGTAACATGGTACTGTTGTTGCAGTTCAATGCCCGAGCCGCAGCCCGGGAATTGCCACGCGAACTGCTGGAGGTTATGAATGAAGCGTTGGCGGAGAATGTCTTCGTGGGTCTTCTGTGCATCATGAACCGCATCCCGCTCTTCATCGTTGGCAAGCCAGGCCAGGCCGCCCCCAAAGTGGGTTTCGTGTGGCGTGCGTGCTCAGTCAAGCTGTGCAGACATGTTGCCATCATCCAAGGAACCTCGAAGACCCTGTGCATGCAAGTTCTGTACTTCGGCTGCACACTTGATGCAGCCACCATCTGCTCACTAGGACAACGCGCCCAATGTACAGACTCAATCATTACATACTCCCCGCTCCCCCGCCCCCTTTCTAACATTGTGTGCGTCTCCATCTTCGCCCCTTAGAGGATTCGCTTTGCATGTGCAGCCTGCTCTTACTCAACACCATGTGTAGAGGTAGTTTACATTGCGTATTTCTGTAGGCCCTTCAGGTGATGAGTAGCCTGAGATGCTTCATAGCTACTTCAGCCAAGGCTGAGCAACCTGCAAGGGAAGCAGTCCAAGTCCAAATTCCTGCAGACATTGCCAGCGCTGCGCCTTATGCAGTATCAGTCCCTTGGCAGAATGGCGCGGGCATGGACAAGGCAGAATATGCGTACCAACCTGTGTTTCGCGCAGGTGCTCCCCGCTTTCCACGGCAGATGGTATCCAGTCGGGCTCCCAAGGCGTTTGTCCGGAGCAGCGGCTGCGGTTCACTACGAGCCAGGCGCCAGTTCGATGCTGCGTCGCGCTTCGCCTCGAGCGCACTGGATGCTCAGGCCTGCCTTCGGGATCGCATGCCTTGTGGCCACACGGTTCACACACATATATATATATATATACACACACACACACACACATATCTGTATACATATACATATATATATATACATAAATATATCATGTACATACATGGTCTGTATGTATGTATGTATGTATGTGCGTACGTATGTATGTATGTATGTACGTACGTATGTATGTATGTGTATAGGCGTTTGGCTGCATGAATTGTCTGAGTCCATAAGGTGCACCAGTATAGTTGTTGACTCCTTGCCGTTCCGAGCGCAGGTGGTGCTGCTCCTGGATGAGGTCGGCCTCGCAGAGTTCTCCCCAGCAGCGGGCCTCAGTTGGCGCCATGGCCCTTGGCATCTCCAGCTCCCACTCGAACCACAGTACTATCTGAACTCTCCTGGCTCTAAGGACATGCCACTGAAGGTCCTCCATGGAATCCTTGCGGAGCCGGGCATCGTATCTGTTGTAGGCTTCTGGCAGTTGCGAAGTTGGGGCAGGGGCCAGGGTTGGCTGCATGTGCGTCTTTTGTCTGACAAACGGAGTCACCGTTAATTGCCCTTAGTTACCCTTAGAGTTGCTTGTTGGGCACAGGTTTGTCGAACTGGCGGCTGGACCCTGCAAAGATGAGTCTCGGAATGCAAGGATCGCAGGGGGCATCATGCCATTGACACCTCGAGGCTTCTAATTATATATCTTGACTCATTCGACATCCAAGGAACCGCAGCGTTTGCTTGGCCCGACCGGATCCGGACTCAGCAGAGGTGGGTCGAACAGGCCGATCATGAAAGGGGGGGTTTCACTCAACTTCCGCGTCCGTTTTGGGGGGGGGGGGGGGCACGCGCGGGTCGCGTAGCCCAGAGCTATCCAGCGACACGGTCGCTTCTCGTGCTGTGTCATGGTTCGAGGCCGCGCCATTTCAAAGGTTTCAAGAGCCATAGACAAGGGGCGAAAGGAGCCTGCAGGAAGAGGAGTTGCAGAGATGTTGCATGCTACGCTTCAGGCAACACAATGAGAGCACCTCCCACCATAGTCTTCACGAGATGCCATATTGTTTCGGGGGCGCGACGAAATATCGAAGCATCCCGCGAGAAGCCCTCACACACAGGCGCAGGGCTGCTTGCGGCCTTCAGCGGGCGTTCCTCTCCGGCCTGGCTGCAGGACCTGCTCTTGATCCTTTGGCTTGAGCCGGGAACTGTCTGGATCTGTTCAGAGATGCCGTGTGTTGCTGTGTCTTGAAAATCCACCCATAGCAGCCTGAAGTCCGAGCGCGCAAGTCGCAGAGAAGCTTGCGCTTGGCTGTTCGGTCAGTTTTGTGTAAAGCATGGTCGAGACAAGACAGATCCTGCTGGGAGGAGCTGTCTGGTGCGTTCTGGAGTGTCTTTGCAGACCAGGGCCCCCCAACGGCAAGGCTGAAAGGGAGGTAGGGTACACAGTTCCCATGCGCATGATATCGTGTTGCTGGACCCTGGTGGATCCGAGGTGATCGCGATTGGCTGGGAATGCGTGACTACTACAGCTTCGTCCGGGCCGTTCGCGACGGATGTCTTGCAGCAAACGTTGACCAACCCACTGCAGAGTGTCCTGACTGGATGGACAGACGCCATGTGCTTTTGTGAGATTTTCCAGCTCTCTGCATTTCTCTTCCAAGCTCCAGGATCCTGGCCTTTGCCATTCGCCGAAACTTTGGAGGCCGGTGGCTCCTTGCAAAGTGTATCGAACTGTGGTGCTATGGTACATGGTACATCCATTTCATTCTCTTGTAACTGCAAACGCCTGAGCGCACCGCCTCGGCAGCCGGGCCGACCCAAGCCACAAGCCACGGGACGTGCATGTCGGAAGTCCAAGCGGCACACTTTCAGAGGGATGTATAGCCTCGCTTGAGGACCGCTGAGCCCTATTTGCTTTAATTGGCAGTCAAGGCTTGCAGTGTCAGCAGGCGGTGCAAACCTTCGGTGCACGTGTTGTCTGTGCTTGCGTGCAAAGTGAATTTTTGAGTAGGATGGTGAGAGGTGCCATGAGGTTCAGAAGGAAGCAAGAGAAGGTTCTTCCACCAGCGAACTGCTCAATATCCCCAAGTCACCTTTTCAAAGGGGGGGGGGGGGGGGGGGGGGGGGGGGGGGAGGGAGTTGGGGTTGTGATGTGTTGGTGTGGTGTGGGGTTCCTGGTTTGCTTGTTCCAAAACAGCTCTCGTATCTTGATGCTGTTGGGTCGCCGAAGGCCAGCCGGCTTTGCTGGAGAGGCTGCTTCATGCCATGCTTCCCGCAGGCGCCTCCTGGAATGTGGTGTAAGGTTCCGATTTCCCCGTCCCTTGTTGTGCCTTTCGCTGCCTTTTCTGTTTGGTGCCGATGTGCTTACCCGGGCACGAAGGGAGGCCGGAGTACAGGGGACTAGCTCAGTGGGCAGTGAAGTGGGGCAGCTCAGAAGCGTTGTGCTAGCTTGCTACATACACTCGCTTTCGAGCACTTTCGAGCTGGCCTGGACCAGGCGCACTAGTAATTAACAAAAGTCATCTTTCGGAACGGGAGACCTCCCTCATATTCTTGCCAACCCTTTGCATGTCGGATCGGATTGACCTCGATTGGAGCCTTTGGATCATCTGAGGTGCCAGAAGCAAAGACGAACGCCTGACGTGGCCTTTAAGGGAGATTCTCTGCTCTAGCTTGTCAGACAGGACGCCAGTCGGGGAGAACAAAATGTAATGCATACATAGATCTTCACAGCACGTGGCAGTCCCTCCTCATCCCGTGGAGAAAAAAGCATCGCAGGACGGCTCGGCACTTGCTTCTGGCCAGCCAGGGCGCCGCTTTGCCATGGCTGCAGGCGCTTCAGCTCCTCCCGTGATGACATTAGTGTATCCATGAAGAAGTCCATAAAAAAGAAAATTTGTTCTTATGCAGCCGGCTGTCTGGGCGAAGATTGCATTCCTGCAATCCTTGCAAAGTGAAAACTACTTAAAAGAGCTACAATGAGACAGCGAGCTACATCCCTCACGTGCAGGCGTCCAGCATCCTCCCTGAGGACGCGGAGATCCTGCTGGGTAGCGACTTCCCCGAGGATGCCTCTGAGGCTTTGAGAGCCAACGCAGCACTGCGACACACGGTCATGGTGCGTGCAGCCATTACAGCTGGGCCAGTGCTAGTCGTATAGGCCTATGCCATCCGGCAGCTCATGCGAGTGCGCGACGCCATGGCCAAGGAGCTGCGCTGTTTGACATCTGTGTACCTCACATTGATGTCCACCCGGTTCAGTCTCGCATTGGTTCTGTGTTGGCATGTCACATGTTTCAAGGGGCGAATGCTACTCTTGTGTGGAATGGACGTCATCTACGAGGCCGGGGAACAACAACTCTCAGCAGACCTAGCACAGGCAAGTTTCAGTCGCCTTTTGCCTTTGCAACTTGCCCAGTCAGCAGATTTCTGCCACCTTGGGTCCACCTTGGTTCCCCCTTGGCCTCTCCAGGCCCTCTACGATGTGTTGAACCAGCGCTATGTGCGGCGCCGGACAGAGGCGAGGCCATTGTGGCTGAGTACGATCACATATTGATTTTGCGTATATATATATATATATAAATAATACGTATCAAAAATATTAATCAATCAAAAACATATACATACATATTGAATGTGCATCGCATTATTACTAATATTATGCTTAGTACATAATATACCAACTTTTGCTGCGTGACTGTTGAAATTCAACGTGAACCCTTATATGCCTTATGGAATACCCTCACGTTGTATTGTCGTGAAGAGGTGCGCTAGCGCGTTTCCCAGGTAAATGTAGGCTTTAGATGCGAATACTTTATTTTCTCATCTCCTATAGGGTAGGTGTTTTTTTCTCTTGGACATGAGGCGGCCCCCCAAGTACACGTATTCCGCGACACATTTTGGACGAATAGCATTTTGAGAAGTGACCATATATATACATATATAATAGGATAGTATACATACATACATACATACATATATATATATATATATATGTATATATACACATGGTAACTCCATGGCTTTCGGGTGTTTTGTCTTCTTTTCGGGATTTCTGCGTTCTGGTATGATACCCTTCAAGCGAAGGCGCCAGTCTTTTTCAGTTAATCCCATCGGCCTTGTCGCAGGAGGGTGAGATCGAGCTGCTCCTGCGACTGGCCATCGGCGCCCGGTCGCAGCTCTGTGCCATGGCCCCCTCCTTCAAGCTCCTGGTGCTGGTCGACCAGGCGTGCTGTGGCAGTTCGGCACAGCAGGTTCATGAGGGGGGGGGGGGTTGCTTTAAGTGAGGGCCGACGCCCCAGCTTGATCATCACTGTATAGAGCCTGAAAGCATCTGGGGTTTACGAGAATAGGGGACCCCAATATCGATCCCCAAATAGTACGATTCCCTGCTCATAGGGACCCAAATAAGGCACCCCCCTCCCCCCCCCAAATTTGAGTAAACCCCCCCCCCCCCCCCCCCCCCAAAATCTGACACTTTCTTTGGCAAGGACCAGGCCTTCCGCCACCTGGACGTGCCCTTCCTGAATCGCTTCGAGAAGCAGCTGGTGGAGCCCACGGAGCTCCTGGACTCGGCGAGGCTCTAAAAAAAGGACACCCTTTTTGGGACTCCTTTTCTACTGCTACTACTGCTACTACTACTACTACTACTACTACTACTACTACTACTACTACTACTACTACTACTACTACTACTACTACTACTACTACTACTACTACTACTGGAAACAAAAAGCTCAGAACAATACGAATAAAAAATACCATTCTGGTTACTTTCTATTCTCCAGGCTCCTAGATGTCAGGGTCACCCTCTTCGCTTTTTTTCCCTGGAAAGAAGACAAAGGGGTCCCTGCTCAGATTTTTTCGGTCCCTGACATAGGCCACGGCTTTGGGGCGGCTCACATCCCCGGTGCACTGTTTGCTTCGGACGGAGTCGTGGTCTAGGATGCCTAAGCCCTGAAGCCCTCACTAAGACGAAACGCCCCTAGGTCCTCAACCATATAAACCCTAAACCCTACAGGCCCTAGAAACCCTCGACCCTATCAACCCCAAACCCTACAAGCCCTAAACCCTATAATACCCTACAAACAGTATAAAACCCTAAAAGCTCTACAAGCCCTAGAAGCCCTTAAAAGAACCCTATAAAGACCCATAAACCCTCTCCCCCCAAAAGAGGCAGCCGCTGCTCGCGCAGCTCCAGGCCTGGGCTGAGGTAGTGGCTCTGGAAGCGGGCTGCGAGGCCGGAGGGGAGGGGTTGACCCCAAGAGTAAAAAACAGAAACCAGCAACCCTAAACCCTACCCACAACCCCCAGGGAACCCTAAAAGCCCCAATCTGTTTAGGGTTAGGGTTGAGGATTCAGGATCCCTAGCTCCCTTACAAACAAAGAACCCTAAAAGTCCCAATTTGGGGACCCCTAAACTCTAAACTCTAAACCCTAAACCCTAAACCCTAAACTCGAAACCCGAAACCCGAAACCCTAAACCCTAAGCCCTAAACCCTAAACCTTTCTCAATCCTGAGGTGGTGGCCGGAGGCCTCACACCTTCGACTTTGGCATCTCTGATGTGCCTTGGTGTTGCAACTTTTCTCGGGTTCAGAGGCTGTTCTCTGTTTCGCATTTTTTTTTGGGGGGCGGGGGGGGGGGTGCTGGGGGGTGGGGGGTTCTTTTTTGGGGGTGGGCAATGTCTGGGGTTCCGATCCTGGTTCCTTCTGGAAGGCTCGCGCGGCCAAAGGCCGACCTGCAGGAGATGAAGCTGCTGGTCTATGACATGGCGCTACCACTGGCTGTGTTTCGGTCGAAGAGCTTGCAGCAGCTCGGGGGGTCGTACTTCCAGGCCAGGACCCCAGACCTTCGGTTTTGGAGCACGGAAGGCTCGCCCTAAACCCTAATCCTTAAACCCTAAACCCTAAACCCTAAACCCCCTTCAGGTGCGACGAAGCTTGGCCAGCAGCATGGCCCATGTGGTCTCCGGCACTGATGCTGGGATCCTTTGCGAGCTCTCCACATCCTCACCCATGGCGCACATGCCACCGCTGCAAGACCTCGCGGAAGTCGGGGGCCACAGCATCATCCCTATCTCCCAGCTCTCGGGGTCCCAGCAGTTGGAGGAGTTGTGCTTACACGTTGTGGGGCCGTGCCTTTTGCGGCCCACAATGTGGTTGTTGCGAATCTTGAGCAGTGTCTCCCTGACAGGACATCCTGGAGAAGTTCTTCTCTGATGGGGCTCAGGAAAGCAGCGACAGGACAGCTGTGGAGGTTTTGACTCGGGCAGCTGTCATAGTTGAAGAGAAAGATTTAGAAAGGAATGGCATCGTCTTGCCTGTCTCATCTTTCTCACACACCTCCGACCGTCTGCAGGACATTGGTGCTTCAGGTAGACGCCTTGAGCTGCAGTGCCTCACGCCTGGCGCTCACGCGGCAGCGCTGTGCCGAGGTGTGTCTACGAAGGGCGGGGGGGCAGGGGAGGGAGCGGTCGCGACTGCCAGACACTGGGCAGCGAAGTTCGCAGCTGTTTGTTGACAGGTGCAACGAAGGCAAGGCGCTCCTCAGTGGGACAACGACCACAGTTTCAGCTCATGCTTCGTGATGGTTTGTGGGCAACAGACTTCCAAGCTGCATCTCCAGCATTCTTCGGCTCCCTAGTGAGCTGAAGCCCCCCATGTTTGGCAGGCTCGGGGCAGCTTCGCGTTCTCACGTGTTTTTGGTGCTGCACCGGGTGGGATGGATTTCCGATGCTGGTCGCTTGTATGGCATTTGTGCTGTCGTGCTGCGCACCTTCAGACATGGAAGCTCAGCGAAGTTGGCCAAGCCCAGGAAAGGGCTACTGCTGGCAGCCCCAGATTGGCTGGCGCTCCATCTTCGTCGATGACCTGCAGGGCGGGATGGGGAGCTGAGCTGATCGACCCAAAACCCGCTTGGACCGAAACCCGGGGCCCAAAGTGAAGAACTTGCAGCCGTTCCCTCTTTGCAGGCTCCAAGACCGGGTCGCTGGGCCCGGAGAGCCGGCTTTTGGGCCAGTCGCTGCAGGTGCCGCTACGTGAGCAAGAGCCCACCCGGTTTCATAGTTCAGGCGTGTCTTTGCGAGGAGGAAGTTCCCAAACGGCTGAAGCGCACATGCCAGCCTAAAGAACGTGTCATTCTAGCAACTTGGATTTGGGATGTTCGCAGTCCCTGAGCAACGAGCCGAAAATCCCAAGGCTCAAGGGCCTACTAACCCTCCGAGCCGCGAGATTCCTGTGCTGGCAGTTGACAGACCCTTCCCAGAACTCTTAATGGGTCGTGATGCAGAGCGCGTTGGATGAGCCTCACCGGATAACTTGGCACCTTTCTGTTGCCCAAGCTGTGTGCAGGAGTTCCTGCAGAGCTCAGTCTACGACCTACACACGCGGGGGCTGATTCCGTCGTTGGCGGAGCCGCCTGGCCCTGTCTTTGAGCATTCTCTGGTGCTGACTATGCTGACTATGCTGAGACTAGAGACTCGAGACCAAAGCAGGAGAGGAATGAACAGCTGAGGATGCTCCGTGCCCGCAACCACACGTGCTTAGCACGCTGCGTGCAGCCCGACATCGGAGGTGCAGTCACCAATGGGCTCATGTGGGGGCCCCCGACCAAACTCGAGTCACGTCCAGGCCTCGAAGCTTTTGCCGAGCGAGTTCGCGGCATGCGCCGTGCACTCGAAGCAGAAGCTTTCGTGGAGGCCATGGGGTGCTGCAACTCACTGCAAAGAGAGGGTGCTCAAAGAGTGGACGGAGAAGCCTCTTCAGAAGGTCAAAGCAGGACGAGCTAGGAAGGTCGGCTAACGGAGAATTCTACGAAACCCTCCACGGCACTCTACCTAAATCCTTAATCATAAACAGAACCAAACTCCCTTAATCCTCATAAAGACTTCCCAAAGTCTAATGGAAGAATTCCCGACTTCGGAGCCGCAGCAGGCCCTCCAGTCTCTGGCGCTGCTGGTCCTGGAGAAGTGGGCCGCCACGGATCCGGGAGCTCTGCAGCTCCACGTGCATCTCGGCTTCTCAAGTAGCGCAGTCCTCGAAATGATGGCCCCCAGATAATATAGGCCCCCAAAGAGTGGGATCCCCTTATGAAAAAGGACCCCAATAAGGTACCCCTAAGATTGGGTCGACTCAGGTATGCAACAGGCGATTCTTCAGCTCAGCCTTGCAGCCATATGGGAGTTTGCGAAAACGAGGGACCCCTAGTGCCCAAGATAGACCCCCCAAATAGTACGATTCCCTTACAAGAAGGGCCACAATAAGGTGCCCCTAATTTCGGAAACGCCCAAACTGTGAAGGTTTTTGAGTGGTTCCCGCATCTTGTGGAGGAAGCTCGCAATGCAAGAGCTGCGCGTTGGAAGCTTGCGAAAGTCTGCTTCTTGGATGCAGATTTGGATGACAAGCCCTTGAAGTACGCCCGAGGGCCGGCGTGACGCACGGCAGTGGCCCGACGAGGTATGGCTCGCAATCGAGCGACTGCAGCTTTCGGCCCTGACGCATGCCCTGCGCTGGATGGAGCCTAGCCTTCAGCCAACAGGGATTTTTTGAAGCATCGCTTCTGAAGATTCTGGGCTCTTGCACAGAGCCCTGGGTCCTCTGCCTTTGCCAGGGCCGTGAGTTCAGAGAGAGCAACCGTCATGGCTGCATAGGACACCGACTTCAACCTCCGCCACGTCTATGGCAGCGATGCCAGTGCCAAGGTTGTCTGCTGAGGGATGCTCTGCAACACGTCCTGCGACTACTGTAACAGTTTGCTAGCCCTCCGCTGTGGAAGGCGCTGTGGCTCGCATTGGTGGAGACGCCATCCATCCAGGCAGCACCGCAGGTGCGCTTTCTTGCACTGCCGCGTGTGCTGCCTCGCCAACTCCTCCCCTGCCCTGCTGCCCGGCCCTTCCTCTGGCCTGGTTGAGCAGGTTCTCGCGGCCGCGCTGCGGCCAGGTGCAGCTTTGCAAGGCCCCGCCCGATAATCAACGCAGGTTCGTTACATGGAATCCTTGACGCCGGATGCTGAATGCCTGGCCCAACTCCAAAAGAATCCTCGAGCACCTTCGGGCTTGAAGCTATGCCCTAATTTTCCGGCTCCGTCTCCCTCAGAGCAGTTAGTGCTTCTGAACCTACCGTGCTTCGGGCGGCGAGAGTCAATTCCATATGACCGTGTTCGGCAGTAGGCTTTGAGGGACAGGTGTGCGAGTGTGCCTCCTGAAGCTTCCAAGCCTTAATCTCACACCTCCCAACCTCACCAGGCCCTGCTCCAGTACCAAACAGTGGTCGACACGGGCCGCTCCGCTGCCGCTGCCCCTTCGCCTCGCGGCTGCTGTCCTTGCCCTTTAGCGGCACAGGGTCGGAACCCTCGAGGATCTTCTGTCGGAACCCTCGAGGATCTTCTTTGATCCCCTTTCCTTTGGGCTTATAAAACCCTTTACTTTGGGCTTACAAAACTTGTGTTATATCTTGTTATAACTTCTTGATGCAGCTGGTTGCATGTTCTGTGAATCCTGCCATGCTCCACCTTCGCATCTTTCTCGGGCGACAGTTTTGGCACCCGTTGGTTGTCGTCTTTTCTTTTTATGCAGCCGTGTCGGACATGACTGTAGAACGACAAGGATGCATGTGTTCTTCATACTGTCCATGTGTATTCCTGCACAGTGTACATCCCCTGCTAAGCTTTTGAGAGCAACAGCAAAGAGGTGCGCTGGGGTGGCTGCAACCCTGGATGACAGCACGGACTTGGCCCGCGGCGTGGTTGCAGTGGCAGTTCTTGCCTGTACCAGGACCAATGTGCCACATGAGTGACGCATGCGGGGCAACTGCAGAACAGGCCAAGACAGCCCATCAACTGTAAGAGAATGGGGTGTGAACAAATGTCAACCATAGCCGGGCAGCCGCATATTGGGAGGTTCATGGTACTTGTTAACGAATTCTATCTGTACCAAGTATAGTTGGTTAATTAAGTACTTCTTAACGAATCTAACTGTACCAAGTATAGTTGCTTAATAAGTACCAGGAACCTCCACGTAGCCTGCCAGAGCATCTGATCCTTGCGGTAGGTCAGCGCAGCATCTGCACCAAGATGGTCGGCTCCTGCCTTAGTCTTGCCTCGGCCCCCTGTTAACCTCGAGTATCCTTGCAAGTAGGTCCTTAGGTGGAAGACAGAATTGGCAAGACTTCTGGAATTCTGAGAGGACAGCACACAAAGACACGCTAATAGCCGATAAGGCGGATGCTGGAACGTGAGAAGCGGTTACTCTTCATCTAAGCTGCAAGGCACATGGCAGGTGAGCAAGGTGTGGCCATTGTGCCCAAGGATTTTGCAGCACTAGCTGCAGGTGAGGATGTCATGCGTGCCTTCGCGCGGTTTGAGGCAGATGCTCCAGGCCTGGGGAGGGTTGAGGGATGAGGGTCGAAGGTAGGTGGCATCAGTGTCAGGAGCCTTCCTTCATGATGCCGTGGCGATCTGGGCGCCCCTCTACCCATTGCTGTCCTTTGAGCTCATCCTGAAGGCACCCGGAGCAGCAAGACTCCTCTCGCCACTCTTGCCGTGGTGTTTGTGAGGTGTTCACCATCGTCTGCGACGAGGAGTTGGAGCGCCCGGTGGTCTCCCCTCTGGAGCCTCTGCACACGAGTTAATAATAATAGTAGTAATAATAATCGTAGTAGTAATAAGAATTATTGTTATTACAATATATATTTATATATATATATATATAACTATATATATATATGTACAGTCTGCGGTTCCCTGACTTCCATGCTCTCTAGGAAGTGGTGGTGGCGTTCCAGAAGTCTCAGGGCTTGGTGCAGAGCATCTGCCAGAAGCTGAGTCGCCGAAGGAAAGTATGGTTTCAGGATACACCTCTTGGTGACCCATGTGACCCCCAACCTGAAGCTGACCCAGACACTTGGGTTGCGACGTCTTTGTTTCCCATGTGTGAGTTGATGCCCTGATCACATGGGTGTCGATCTAGGTCCTCTTAGGTGGCGAAGCGCAAGGGTCAAGCTGCAAGTGTACCCTGGATTCGGATCTCGATACACTATAGGGCCTTGGAAGACCGCGCAAAGGCAAAGCGCGCGAGGATGGTAAAAGAGCAGCGGCGTTCGAGTTAAGAAAAACCCAGCCGATCCACCGGATCAACGGACACCCGACGCAACTCTCCAACGTCGTCCCCTTTTGAACAGAAGCCAAACGCAGTAGTCTTTTGGGCTGCCCAGGCACTTTGTACGGTTTAAAGGCTATGGCTATATGAGTGGCCTGGCCCTAAACCCTAAACCCTAAACCCTAAACCCTAGACCCTAGACCCTAGACCCTAGACCCTAGACCCTAGACCCTAGACCCTAGACCCTAAAGGTCCTCATGTGTGGCTGTAACCCGGCTTTCCAGGTTGCTTGCTGTCGCTGGTCGAGGCGAGCTTTGGCACGGCAGACACGGCCGTGCGAAGCTTAGCCTCAGAAGAGACCTCTTAATATTATTGTTGTTATAATTCTTCCTCTTAATATTATTGTTGTTATAATTCTTCCTCTTAATATTATTGTTGTTATTAACTCTTCCTCTTAATATTATTTTTTCTCATTCTGATTTCTTATTCTTATCCTAATTACGAAGAGACGAAGCAGATCCCAAGTCATCACGGTTTGAGCTTCTGTTGCTCCTATATGATTGTTGTTATAACTCTTCCTCTTAATAATATTTTATTATTATTCTTATTTCTTATTCTTATCCTTATTGCTACATTTTTTACATTTGCTTAATTTTTTAAATCTACAGTCTGTACAGTGTCGAAGTGGTGGAGTTCTGCGCAAGGCGTCGAGAATTTCAAAGACAACATGGTGCCAGCTTCACGTCCCCCTTGGTCCTGAAATGTGAGATCCTCTAAACCCTAAACCCTAAACCCTAAACCCTACACCCCTCTGCTCCTCGGTTCCTTTGCCGAGGCTGCCGAGCGCCTCCTGACGGTTGCACCGGGCCAGACATTGGCGGAGTCGGTGGTGGAGGCTTCAAGAGCTCAGTTCAGCATAGGGTTTAGGGTTTAGGGTTTAGGGTTTGGGGTTTGGGGTTTAGGGCTTAGGGTTTAGGGTTCAGGGTTCTTTTGACACTTGTATGTGGGTGGTTGTCAGAAATATGGTCCCTTTTTTGGGGTCCCTATGATCATACGGCACCTAATATTTAGGGTACCCCAAAAGGGATCATGATTTTGACAAATGTGTAATCGCCAAGAGAAGACGGCATTATCCACAAGAGGCGCAGTGCATCACAGACAGTACTGCTACATCGCAGTTTCGGCGACTGCTTAAGGCACTGTCAGTTGTCAGTGACTGGCGAGAAAAAGGCAACTCCTTCAGTGAGGGTCAACTTGATAGGCCCTGGGCACCGAAACGCTCAGGAAGGATCTTACCCGAAGAAGCCTTGGCCCTTTGTCACATTGAGGCGGTGGCCACGACGCTGGGTGGCCAGATAACGGCAGAGTGGGCTGAGACTCGGACGTATTGGAGTGAGCGGCGTTGCTATCGCAGGCCAGTTGCTTTGCAGACCCTCGAGACAGGGCTCCGGGTCCAGGGAGTCAGAATGGAGGAAGGCTGATGGTTGAGGATGGAAGGAGGTGAAGGTGATCTTGGGGCACTCCTGTCTGTGGCAGGAACGTGCCTGTCCACACATTCGGATGCTACTGGTCAAGGCCAGCAAGAAAACAGGAGTCCTGACCTCAGCATCCTGCAGATTTAGATGGACAAGTTTGTCAGAGGTTGTTCAGTCGAGGGCCATTCAGTGCTGGACTTGCTGGGCTAGGTACCTGCCAGTCTAACGGCTTCTCATGTTTCTTGGGGCGCGTGCAGCCATCTAGCCTCCGAAATCTGATGGTGGATGGACGAGGCTGCCCAGGCTGCGGGTGGTAATGGAGGAAGACCTCGGTGGTTACGACAGCTTCTTGAGGTCTGAGCTTGACAAGCTCTTCGAAAGCCTCATACAGCAGCACCAGGCAGAGCTGGAGAAAAGAGACAGCGTAAGTTCTGTTCGTTCTGCAGAACCTCAGACGCAGAATCATAGCACTCCGAGCTCTCCGACGTCTCGGCATGGAAGCGCTTACAGAAGCCAAAGCAAGGAGACCACGAGTGAGAATGGTGCCATCGGCTCGCTGGCATCCTTTCCCAGCTCAGAGAACTCCACAGCGGTGAACAACTGGGGCGTCCTCACTCGTAGCCTGATCGTGCAGCATCATGAAGAGTTCGAAGACTCGGATTCGGATGACGACCAGCAGATGTCCTATGCCAAGGACATGCATGTCTGTTCTTGGTTACCCATTGAACGCGGTACGTAGTTCCAATTGTTTAACGGGTTGTTGTTTGTGCAACTTCTTTGCACGCTCACGGCAGTCTTGTTACTTGTCGGTTTCATTTGCGTACTTGGCTTTCTTTGCATTTTCTCTGCCGCTTTCTGCTTTTGTTTCTCTCTATCTTGGAGTTTGCGTTGTGCCTTTTGATTTTGTTTGGCTTTGCCATGTCTTGCTGCTTGCGCGTTCAACTATTTTGTGTTTGCTTTGTGTTGGTTTTGACTTTCCTGCATTTGGCCAACTGCGTCTTGGGTTTTGCTTGTTTTTGCAGCTTTGCCACGTGCATTTTCCTTTTGTGGTTTGTCTGTCTTGCAGTCTGCGTCGTGCTTCGGGTGTTTGTTTGGCTTTGCCATTTCTTTTTGCTTTGCTTTGTGCCTTTTGCTTGGCGCTTTGATGCCATCAACGTTTTGCTTGCTGCTGGTAGTTAGGCTTTGTCGTTTCTTTGCTTTTGCTTTTGGGTTCTTGCCGTCTGCCTTTGCCGTGGAGGGACTAGGGGGTTTCAAAGGTTCAGGGCCTAGGCTCCAGGGCCTGTTTTAGGTTTCGGGTTAGTTCCGAAAAGTGTGCGGCTCTCTTCGTTGACAGAACAGCAGAGAAAGAGTAAGGAAGCAAGGAAGGAAGGCAGGAGGGAAGGAGGGAAGGAAGGCAAGAAGTAAGACCATGAAAGCCTGACAGTGCATGCGGAAGCTGCGGCATACTACATACTTATACTACATACTATATGAAATTCATGCAGTGTTGTATACTGTATACCGTATATGCTACTGTAAGGGATAGACCATACACTCTGTTGGAATACTATATATAGTATTTAGTATATGTTATATACTATAGACTATGCATATATATGTATATATATATATATTATATCTATATATTCATGAGAAACACTATCTTTCTCTCTCTCTCTCTATATATATACATATAGAGTCTATTGCATACTATATAGTTTCGTTCGGGCACTTTTCGGGCACTTTTTTCTTGTTTCTTTCGTTGGTGGTCCGCTGATCCTTTGGGTCTGCTGGCCCGCAGCATTCAACATGCAATAGGAAATGATTCAAAACCCAGTTGAATCCTTTCCAAACCCATCGTACGAGCATTGTGGCCGCCGCTCTTTTAACCCGTGAATTTCGTGACATCAATGGACATTCCTTCAAGATAGACGGTTTCTTTCCAAACCCATCATGCAAAGAAAGCTGAGTAAATTGTGCTTAAAGCGAGTAGGCATATAGAATTCGTAGAGGTTTACGCCCCATAATCCGCGGAATGCGCGAGGGACCTGAGGCGGAGTGCAGTTTCGACCACGGAAGGTGCGCACGACCTAGCGGCATGCACGCGGGACCTTGGCGAGAGTGTCGGTTAGCACTCACACGGAACAATGCAAGACCTTGGTTGTTGCGATACAAGGCCCTAAGGCCAAAAAACTAGCCCCAAACCAAAGTCCATAAACAGTTCGCGTCCATGGGTACGAGGGGGGATGTCGCGACTTCGGGCGTTTTGCCGTCGAGCGCTGTTGACATCGGGTTGCGCGGGCACGTGCTCTGATCGACAGGACATACTGGCCCTGCGCAATCCGTGGAAAGGTGTGCTACATCACCATTCCTTGAAGAGGGACAGGACCAAGAACTACAGCCCGGGTCCGTTGCTCAAGCTTCATCGCATGAACGATGCTGAAACGGATGAGGGCTGCTTGCAACCGCTGGTGCGACCACCCAGCAGCAAGCTGCAAATCATGTGGTCGCTGATCGGGAGCTTGCTGATCACATGGGACTTGATCACCATCCCAATGGAGCTTTTCGATGTCCAGGACATGATCAACTTCCTTGTTGTCGTGGGAAGACTCTCTTTCGTGTTCTGGGTCCTCGATGTGCCGCTCGATTGGATTCCCTGAGTAGCACGCTGTTTTGCTTCCTCTGCTGCCGTCCTGCTGCTGCTAATGTTGTTTTCACCACTACCATCATGAGCTTGTAGTTCTAACATCATCATATTCGTATCCCTGCTACTCCTACCACTACGCCTTCTACCACTATCACTACCAGAATTGTTGCTGCTGCTGCTGCTGCTGCTGCTCTTACTACTTCTACTACTACTACTACTACTACTGCTGCTACTACTACTACTGCTACTACTACTACTGCTACTACTACTGCAGCTACTGCTTCTACTGAAGCTACTGTTTCTGCGGCTGCTGCTGCTGCTGCTGCTACTGCTTCTGCTACTGCTACTACTGCTGCTGCTGCTGCTGCTACTTCGGCTTCTTCTGCTACTACTGCTACCACTGCTACTACCGCTACTACTGCTACTACTGCTATTGCTGCTACTACTGCTTCTACTGCTGCTAGTGGTACTTCTGCTACTGCTCCTTCGACTTCTACTACTGCTATCACTACTACTACTGCTGCTACTGCTCCTGCTACTGATGCTGCTGCTGCTACTCCTACAACAACAACTACTACTCTCTCTACTACTTCTACTTCTATTTCTACTCCTACTACTAGATCCACTACTACTTCTATGACTATTGCTACTACTACTGCTACTACTGCTGCTGCTACTGCTACTGCTACTGGTACTGCTGCTGCTACTGGTACTGGTACTGCTACTGCTACTACTACGACGACGACTACTATTACTACTTCTTCTACTACTTCTGCTACTCCTACTACTACTACTACTACTACTACTACTACTACTACTACTACTACTACCATTACTACATCCACAACAACAACAACCACTACTGCTACTACTGGTACTACTACTACTACTACTACTACTACTACTACTACTACTACTACTACTACTACTACTACTACTACTACTAGTATTACTAGTACTACTACTACTACTACTACTACTACTACTACTACTACTACTACTACTACGACGACGACGACGACGACGACGCAGACGACGACGATGACGACGACTACGACTACGACGACAACAAGAACTACTACTACTCCTACTACTCCTACTACTACTACTACTGCTACTACTACTACTACTACTACTGCTACTACGACGATTACTTCTACTACTACTTCTACTACTACTACTACTACTACTACTACTACTACTACTACTACTACTACTACTACTACTACTACTAGGGTTGCGCGCCTCAGGGCGCCTGGTGCTTTGGGGTGTGTGAGGTGTTGGAAACCATGTTTTTTGCGATGTATTTGGACATGTGTGTAAAAAGTCTCAAAACGCGAAGATCGCGCTAACTAATTTTAAGCCCGAAATCGAAGCCCGAAACGCGAAACCCGACAAAACCTAAACCCTACTGTAAACCGCAAAACCTAGGTCAAAGGACTTTTGGGCTTGCACTTGAGGGTTTGGGAGGGAATGGCTGCGGCCCCTGTGTAGTGGTATCTCATATAGTAACCAACTACTTTACGCCTGTAAGTACAGCTAACACAGCAAGTTTCCAAAAACATGGTCTAACGCCTAACTCCCACAACCAAAACCAAAGTTTTTGGCCCGTGCAGTCCTCAGATGCCTCTGCTTTGTCATACGAAATCTGGGGTTCAGGAGTGATTTGGATCGATTCAGAACCAATGAAGCTTACTTCCTCTGACCCTCAGACAACCGAACCGAATCTCGGAGCCAGCCATTCCGTAATCCTCCAGTTCGTTTAGAGCAAGTCAGTGCAGCCCTTCGTGGAGCCTCCAAAGCGGAGCATGCTGGGAAAGCATGCTCGTGATGGATGGTAGACAGAACTTTTCATCAAAGCCACTTCACGCAATTTCAACCTCTAACCCCTTGACCTTAACGCAAAAGATAGAGCGGAGCCTGGGGTGCCTTCGACTGGGGCTTCTCCGCTGGGGCAGCGACCTATTCAGTTGAGGCTGTAAAACCTTCAAGCCTAAACCCCAAAAAATTGTCAAAGACAGAGACAGATGTTTTCCTCACGCAGTCTGCACCTTGAGCACTCCCAGGTTTTGGGGCTTTGCTGACAGCCCTTGGGATCATGTAATATATATATATATAGAATATAGAGCATGAAATATATAACATATAACAGACCCATAGTACACTATTTATCTTATGCTACATAGTATGGAATATGTAATATATAAGATGTATAATATGTAAGATAAAGGAATAGTAATAAATAACAAGCATAATAAAAGAAAAAATAATATATCAGGCATACGAAAAAATATTATATTTAATATATTCTGCTTTTGCGCTTCAGGTTCAGGCAGGGAAATTCACGAGCCCGGACGTACCCAACCCCCCCCCCCCCCCCCCCCCCCCCCCCCCCCCCCCCCCCCGCAGGAAAGACCAGGCGCCAGAAAGCGCGCATGGCTACTACTACTACTAGATTTACTATTACATGTCCTACTACATTTACTACTACA